AATAAATAAATTTATTTATTTATCGATCGATCGATCGATCGATCTATCTATCTATCTATCTATCTATCTATCTATCTATCTATCTATTTATCTATTTATTTATTTATTTATTTATATCCCACCTATCTGGTCTTGCGACCACTCTAGGTGGCATTTACAGGGCAATGCTATGCATGTTTACTTAGAAGTAAATCTCACTATATTTAATTAAACTTATTTGGCAGTACATCTTGGACAGAACAGAGCTTAAATAGTTTTTCATGCACTCAGATCTATGCTTATATTTCTCCAACATCTAGTTGGAGAAATCATGTATTTGTCCTCCTTATTTTTCTAGTGTTACGTTTCTTTTATTTCTTAATTGCCCTATAATCAAAATTTCCAGGCTTAGTTAGTTTCATTGTATCACACACAATAATGCAATTAAACCAACACAATCAATACACATCATTTAAAGACACATTTACAAGCTACAGTATATGATGGGTTCTTTACCAGCTTTATGCCCTCCAAGATCTCCTGCTGTTTTTAATTTTTGCTGCTGCTTTTTCCCAGATTATGACACCAATATGGTGTAGAGCTTCCTTCAAAGCCTTGCCTAATGGTAAGCTTTTCTGTGAGGCTTTTGGTGTAACTGGCATGTGTAAGTCTGTTTATTCTCATTTATATACTTGTCCTAAGCTTTGTCTTCTTTCCTCTCCTTTTATTTATCTATTAAGTATTTCATCCCTTTAAAAAAAAATAACAAAACAAATCATTGTAGAAGGCAGTCTACAAAATATGAAAAGAGTGACTAATAATGAGCACACGCTAACAAGAGGAGAAGGGGATGACAGAGGATGAGATGGTTGGACAGTATCACTGAATCGACCAACATGAATTTGACCCAACTCCGGGAGGCAGTGGAATACAGGAGGGCCTGGCGTGCTCTGGTCCATGGGGTCACGAAGAGTTGGACATGACTAAACAACTAAACAACAACAACGAACAAGTTAAAAGTAGCAGACAACACGCACACACAAACATACACACTAAACTCTCAGTTGGTTTATTTATTTGGCAACAAAAAACACACATGACCAGAGTTAATTTTTTGTTAAAGAGAAGTTTATCCACTTGCCAGCAAAAAAAAGAAGCCTGAACTGCATTTAGAAATAACCAGGAAGATGGTGCAGCTAATACAAGAAAGAAATCACATGGTTCTATGACTTTGCCATAGTCAAAATTTTACCAGGGGAGTTCTACATTAGTTAAATCCCGAAGCATTATTCTGTGGCAGCCCCATGTAGGATGCATTTGCAGTCACCCAACCAAGATCTTACTAGTGCCATGTAAGGGTATGGCTGTCTTGAACAGATGCTTCTGTTGCATCAGTGGAGGGAGAGCAACAGCACTTCTGGAGACAGTCATCATTACCTGAACTCATTATCCAGGCTGGGTCCAGGAAAACACCCAAGTTATTAATGTGAGCCTTTCACTTGTTTGCAACCCATTGAGAACTGCCTGATGTGCTGTCAGCAAGCTGGTAGACTTCCTAATGAATTGGACCTCTGTCTTTTCTGGATTTAATTTCAGTTTGTTAGCATTATGCATTCCATGACTGAATCCAAACACTGAATCAGAATCAGCACAGACTCTCCAGACTATACGGGCAAATGTAGCATTTGTAGCAAAAGTAGAGCAGTATCTCTGCATTACCAGCATACTGATGAAGGAAGACACTCTCCCCAGCTACCAATGATCATTCTTGGAATCTACAGAAAACTGCCGGAAAAAATAATCTGGATGAGGACTGGGGTTTCACTAATCTATTGTGGGATCTCACAGGATAAAAGCCTCAAGGGACCATTATCTTCATCCTTGCTGAAATATATATTGCAAGCTGATTATATCAAAAACTTTTCTTTCAGTTACTTGGAAAATTGCCACTCTATGAATATTACTGTCATGTATTTGTACTGTCTGGGAATGTTTTTTTTTCCACCCAAAGCTATACACTGCTGTACTTTCAAAGTGAGCGTGGAGCTTGTATTAGATTTTAAAATTCTGCACGCGGCCATAGCTGCAAGGCATCGCCAATGCTGAGACTTGACCACTGTGCCTCTGTTGCAGTTCAGAGCACTGGAAAAGTCTAGAAGGTCAAGGCCACTTACTGCCAGACGCAATGCAGTACCCCAAGGGCCATTTATTATCATCACTCTGAGTACAGGACATTCTTTTAGAAATTGCAAGACAAGCTAATGTTTGCACTGCTGTGGTTTAAGCAGATTAATAGGATCACATAGTAAATCATTTGGAGAACTTAAATATTGTCCACATATCTAAGTCTTCTGCACTTTTTTTTTCTTAAACAAAAACCACCAACTTTCCAATATGTTCCCCTTGGTCTGTATTGCTTGTAAAGAAAAATAATGGCTCTAACTAGGATCATTTCAACTTTGCAAGCATTTTTACAAATACTGTACCTAAAATCAATATATTTCAAAAAGTTCAAAGAATGTGTAAAAAGTGATTAGGATGTTCATCAGCTTAAAAAAATGTTGTACATATTTCATGAAAAAGATCCATCAACTTTTTACAGCAGCTGATTTCTTTCAGTAATGATATTTTAGAATCACACACAGCGAGAAACGCTTACAATAACAATGAAACTTAATGGCAAGTACTTCTTGTAATATCTTGCGGAGTAAGACAAAATGATTCTTAAATAGAAAGGTGAGTATTCTTATTGTAAGTCACCTTTTCACCTTCTGCTGTTTTGGATTTAGCAGAAAACACATGACACTGGAAGGTTTTTCTTAACCAAATGTATTTTGCTCACCTTGGTTATTTATAGGTAAGATATGTTAGAAAAGGTTGGAAGTAATAATTTAATTAATTATACTACCAGGAGCATTTTCAACTCAACGACTAGCTGGTAGACCACATCACCTAAAATGTGCAGCTACAACACATTCCTTTTATACCAGAGCTTCTTATTAGTGGCACCTGCTTATGCAGGCCTCAAAATAGGAGCCATTTGCTAATGACAGGAATCACTGGGGGGTAATTGCCATCAAAGAAATTGTGGTTTTCCAGTGTGCAGAGTGCAACTCGGTATGTCTGTTCACCCATATAAAAAGTCATTCTGAAACTAGTGATTTAAGCAAACTGTTATTTCCGTTTTGGTAGTTAGATTATAGCTTTGGTTGTTGGGCTATTGGTTGCATTTTAAGGCCAAGTTGTAATTTTGTGAGCAGCCTCTGCAAAATTTGATACTACTGTGTGCTCCTCAAAGGCACTCGTGTGAGAACTGTTGAGCTATGTGAACCAACATGAAACACACTATTTATACCATTGAAGTCTTATAAATAGGAAGGCTGAGAATTTCCACCCATATTTGATAAAATAAATTATGCATAATTAATTGTCAAGTATTTACAAGCTATTTATTTATTTAAAATATTTTTACCCCATCTTTATCCTTAAAAAGGACTGGAGGTGGTTTACTTCATTAAACGACAATATTAGAAGCTAAAAACACTAAGCATACAAATGCTGAAAAGGATCAAACAAATACCACCAGTCTTTGTTCTTCTAGGGCAATGAAGGCGAATCTTTCCTTTCTGTTACTTGGGAGCTTCCTGAGGCTGTGTCACTTGCTCTACAAGATAATCCACTGATATCTCTAAAACTGACTCTCAATGCTAAGAAAAATAACGGATTTTATCCAGATGTTGAGCTGTTGCCTGATAAGGAACCTGTGACATCAAATCCAGAGGTAGGGGACTATTTCCAGATGTCTGAATACTCACAGAAAGAAAAGGATTGTACACCTTTTGCCATTTCTGAGTTCTGTTTCTTACAGCTTGATGGAAGCCTAACTCATCAATGGAAAATTAAACATGTCAAAAGTAATCATGTGAAAAGTAAACTTAAGTTTTTACTTTTGAAAAATCTCCAGGACATAGGCAGAGAAGGGTGAAGGGAGACTGCGGAGCCTCTGGCTCCTAGTGTCGATCAGTTGTCCATCTCTGACAAATGGACTCAACTCCATCAAAGTTCATGATACAAAATCTGTTTCTCTTTAAGGCTTCATAGGACTCTGTTGTTTCAGCAGCTAAAAAGCATTGGACAAAGTAGAATTTGATCCATGAAAGCTCCCACTGAAACAAATCTGTCTTCTCCTTTTCTCAGAATTATTGTCTTTGTCAATCAATCTTGTCTTCTGATGATGTGCCAAAAGTATGATAACCTCAGTTTAGTCATTTTTGTTTCAAGAGAGAGTTCAGTTTCATTACACACTCAGAATCATATATCTGTGTTTCTGGCAGTCCATGGCATCCATAAAGCTCTCCTCCAACTCCTCGTTTTTAACGGGCTTTTCCCCCCTGTCAGCTTTCTTCAGTCTTTCTAACACTGAGGTAAAGCAAAAATACATTCCAAATGAATTTCAAATATTTTGTTTGATGTGGCATAGGAACAGATGATGGAAATATTTATTGCCATCTAAAAATCCTATGATATCTTTGCTTGTTTATAAGTCACATGGATATTTAAATTCATCATTATTACATAGTCCTATTTTTGTATTGTTTACAATATAAATTCAAAGACAGACAGAGAGAAGAAAAAGATGATTTCTGTGTCTTTTATCAGTTTCAGTTTTTCAAAAATATGTATAGTGTTAAGTTGTTTTGAAGTTAGTACAGTATACAGCAATATGGTACTATATATAGGAATTATATAGTACAAAATTAATAGTTATTAGTAGCAATGAATGCCTTATTTGTAGTAACAAATAACTTTTTGCATGCATTTTTCAGATTCCTTGTGGAATAGAAGTGACCTGTTTTGATTTGCTGAGAGTAGAAGGTTACAATTTGTTAGCCACTGCAAGTACAAATGGTGTAATCATGATGTGGGATTTTGAATCTGCCACCACCAGATACATGTAAGTAAGAAAGGATATGTAGGTGTTACAGACCAATCAGCCAGCCTGGATCTAAAAGATTAGTACATGGTAGTAAAAGGGCTTTTACAGGTTTCCTGTTCTCAATGGTAGTGGGAGTGTGTATGATTACTATACTACTCACAGGATGCAGATGAAAACCACAGGGCAAATCGTGGCTTCTAAAGGTTCCTCATTTAATGACTGAAATCTAGTGGTCAGTTGTAACTATAATATACCCATTCAATCCTTTGGTGAGTCAAGTTATGGAGGAGTTGACTAATTCAATGGCCCTACTCTAGTTGTGACATACTACTAAATTGTAATTTTGATAATATCTCCAAACCAGAGCTTGGCGAAATTTTCTTTTTTTGGCTACAATTCTAAGATATCTCACCCACAGGCCAGGCAGATTACAGCAGTAGTTCTTAACCTTTTTGAAAGAAACGCCCCCTTGAGCCATTGAGGAAGTTATCATCACCCCCCCTCCCCACGGTGATGATATCTTCTTTCTTTCTTTCTTTCTTTCTTTCTTTCTTTCTTTCTTTCTTTCTTTCTTTCTTTCTTTCTTTCTTTATTTATTTATTTATTTATTTATTTATTTATTTATTTATTTATTTATTGAAGACACTTAAATCCAATGACCCCTGAAAACAAAATTCAATTGCAAGAAAATGAAATGCCCCCCAAAAGTAACATTTAATGATTTAGTTGCAAGCGAATTTTAAGACGCAAAAAGAAATATAAAAAGGGCATAAAAACAAAACGCAATGCAGGAACTAAAAATTTCAAGACGAAAACTGTGAAACTAAATTAAGATTGGAGGAAAATATATATTCATGCACATTGTAAAAAGGCTGCAGCCATCTTCACAGGTTTGGCTTGCTCCAGCGCCCCCTAACGCCCCTCTTCTGCTCCACAGGATCTGTAGCCCTAAGCACTGTCTTTTTTTTTATTCTACTGAAGGTCCTCAGCACTTTACACATAAATGTGATACATCTCTGCAGTTTCCTTGCAAGCTGAAGTCTAAGCAGGGGGCTCTTCGGCACTCTTTTCTCCAGCACAGTCAGCAGCTGAGACTCCATCTGAGTTCTGCTCTGTGTACAAATCAACAACTCACTGTTGTGCTTCACCTCAAACACAGACAAATGGGAGTAAGCAGCTGAGATGCAGAAAGAGGAAAACGCAAGCCATGCTTCTGTCTTTGCTCACACTGCAAGGATAGTAATTTCTGAAAGCTCCTCAATGACAGCTTAGCTTGTCTCAAGTAAATCATAGTACAGAACTAATATGCTATCATTTTTGCCCTTGCTCATTTCAAAGTGTGGAAACTTTTAAAATTAGCTGCCAGCTGGAATGTTGTGCCTTTGTTAGTACTCAGCTGCTAGTTAATTCTTTCACAGCAGGAGAAACAAGTGACAGCGTTCAGCATGGAGCATAACATGTCTCTCATTTTGGCAGCTTTTCCTAGCTCTAAAATTCAGTGAGCTCGTTCCCTAAGGGGCAGCTCAAAGTCTGCTCCAGAAACAGAAGATATAATTTTTCCAAACCCGCATTCAATTTCACTTCACAATGTGACTCATTCCTTGGAACCAATAAGTATGTATGTGTACGCAATATAATGCCTCAGGGCTTATTTCTTTAAACACGAACGATTCCAATGAGAATGCCACGGCCTTATTTCTCTGCCATCAAGTTTTTAGTCTTCTTTAGGGAGATGTATTTTGAAAATGATAAACAGGATACTTACCTAAAAATGGTTTCAGAAGAGGTAGAAAACCAAGGAGGATGGGGATGGAGCAGAACATCCTGGAAGGCAGCAGGACTATCTGTCAGGAGCCCTGAACAGGAGCCCTTTGCCTTGCAATATTTCGTCAGAAGTCACCCTGATAGGAATGAGATGCTCTGTGGTAGCGACAGGCTAGCCGTTCAAACATGAAAGCCACTTGGCTCTGTGAAATGAGTTAATCATTTAGTTTCTTGGAGTGCAGTTAGTGCTATATATTGTAAACTCATTTTGGAAAACTATTCTTGATATTTCCACAGAGCCATTCTAAACTATCTTTAGAGTCATCTAAAATAGGAGTTTTCCAATAGGCCTAAGACTGCCAGTGCTCTGTGTTGATAAATTGTGTGTTCAAATCCTCAGAGAGATTCCTCAACAGGCAAACACATGTAGAAAAATATTTACTTCTAGACCAGGGGTCAGAGAATTTTTTTACCTTTTACCCTCCCCAAAAAATCTATGTACATTGACATTAACCCCCCCCTTGGCTCTTGCTGTCCGCAGCCGACCCCCGCCTTTGCGCTCACCTGGGACCTGTGGCCACTGTCTGGGCAGACAGTCTGAAGCTGCCACACTGCTGGGAAAGCGCGTCTTTGGCAAGGGGAGGCAGGCACCGCAGGGCCGGCAGGCCTACTGGCCATGAGCTCAGGTGTGGTGGGATGGGAAGGGGGCCTCCTCACCAGCACCCCGGGTGGGTGGGCGCGGGCAGGAAGGAGAGCTCCGGCCAGGACTCCACTGGGCAAAGAGTCCAGCTGGCCTGGTACACCGCCCTCCCCCCCCCCACTTTGGAGGCGAGGGGGACAGGCGGGTGCCCTGTGCAGTTCCTCGCCAGTGCTTTCTGTCCCTGCGATGGAATGCCCACCTACACACAACATCGTTGGAAACAAAATGCCTGGGGGTAAAATGCCTGCCACGACCATCCTCATTACCCCCAGGATTTTCATTTTCATCCCTTTGGGGTCATTTACCCCTGGTCTCTGACCACTGTTCTAGACTATTAATAAATGGCTTGTTTTATTGCAGTGACACAGAACTGCAAAGTGACCTGTATGGAGTAGGAATAACATGAAGTTTTAGCAAAATTCGATTGAGCTCAGAAAAGATCTGCAGTTACTTTCTATGTATTGTGATATATTGAAAAATAAAACATTACAAAACATTGGGCAAAATCCTGTTACATAATTATGCACCCAATGTAACCAGGTTCAGGCACCAGAAACATTTTACATTTAATTAAAAGTTTGCTACTCACTCCCCTTTAGGTTCTGATTCCCTTGAGCATTTTTTGCCCTGAGGAAGCCCTTGGGAGCCTCAGGACTTGGAGGAAGAGCCTTTAAAAGTCACCAAGTTGCTGCTGCCAGAACCAGGACGGCTCCTGGTGATCTGGTGGCTTTTTATTTTAAACTTTTGAAGGCTCCCCCACCCCACCTGTCCCAAGGCTCCCAAAGATTTCCCCAGGGCAAAAGGCAACCATGGGGTGCCTTGTAACCTAAAAACGGGAAATATGAAGCTTTTAATAAGTGTAGATTAACTGTGTTTGGCATCTGATCCAGGTTATGCTGGGCACAAAGTTAAACAATAGAGTTTTACCTAATGATACATTTGGATATAATCAATGGATTGCATCTGTGGGTTTAAAAAATATGGAACGACTCCTTTTCCTTCTCTTTTGCTTATTTTCTCATTTCCAAGTCATGGTTGATTCATACCAACCTATGTTGTAAGCATCTTTAAAATTTATCATGGGGACCAAATCTCTTAGCACTCTTTATTTTGATGTAAGAAATATGTGCTCTATTAAGCAAATCATGGTTAAGTGTGATAAATGACGTGTTTTATTTCCAGATTCAAGGCTGGCCACGCTGTCCAGGTTGAGGGACCAGAATTACTTAGAATCAATAGGTTGCTGTTCCTTTATCGAAGTGCCCTCTCTGAGAGGTAGGAGAACTATGTTGGAAACGCATGTCAGTTATGATTACCCTAGGTTAAGAAATAATTAATTCTCATCTCACCTTTGGTGAAATTAATAAATATTTGACTGGACTGGAGCATATTCCCAACTAATTATGGGTTCATAGCAATAAGAGATATCTAACTTGAAGTAGCAAAATATATACAAAGGGTTTTTTAAAGTTCCAGCGCCTCCAGCACCTCTAACATTTTGCCCATGTTTTATTATGTATGCAAAGTACTTCTACACATAGGGTTCTTAATTCATTTTATTGTAGTCAGCAAAATTGTGTTTGCAAAGAAATGCCTGTATATGATATTTACCGTGTTCTAGGAAATTGGCAGTCTAGCTTTAGAACAGCCTGTTCCTACAGATGTATTGAAATAAATAATATAGTCTACAAGATCATGAAGACTATATGCTTTTGGCCCTGTGGTTCAGTTATTCTCCATACCCACTAACATCTGGAGCTACCTGGATTCTGTCTTCCATACAGGCAGCTGAGTTTGTCTTCCACCTTCAGTTCTGATCCTCAGAGTGATGAGAGTCATACACAGGAAGAAGGCAGCACTGTGGGCATAAAGCTGGTATGTTCCTTTCGGATTGTGGCTGAGCCAGCTTCTCTCTCCTGCCCTGGCCTTTGCCTTCACTCTGTCCCTGTCTCCAGTTTTTTCTGAAGCTGGTAACTGTAGCTTGGTTGAAACAAGGGTTATGTCTAATTATAGACATCCTGATTCACCTGCCTGCATTTTTGAAAAGAGTTGCATCAGGTGTACACAGGCACAACTTTATTTACATCTCAGGTAGAGTTGGACATGAACCACTAGTTCAGTGCTTGGCGTGCTTTGTTTTCCAGCCAAACAGCTGATCCATGTTTGTTGTGGGTTTTTCGGGCTCTTTGGCCATGTTCTGAACCCACAACAACAATCAGATCCCAGCCATGAAACCTTCGAGAATACATACAGCTGATCCATGGTTCAGCAACCTGCCACCTCCTGTGGGCATCTGCTTAAAGGCAGTGCCCAGAAGAGGTGAAGCTGGACACTGCCACTAAATGGATGCCCGTTGGAGGGGGTGGCACACTGAACCACAGATCAGCTGTTTGGCCAGGAAATGAATTGTGCCGAACTGTCAAACCAGCAGTTCATTCCCATCTCTAATCTCAGGTTATTAAACCAAGAGGTTATTGATCATTAAATGGCAGTGATTTATTCAGTTTTACTGTAAACTGCCTAGAGTTTTAAGGCAGGATGCAAACCCACAAACTAAAGAAACATTTTGTGAACATTTCTGATCACCCCCACCCCCAATAGTTGGCAACTAAAGGTATCTTTTTTTCTGGTGTCTAATTTTTTTAAATCTCAGATTCATTGTTCATCCTACTGCTTAATTTCAGGAATGTGATAAAAATGAACATGGTGGTACAACAAGTGTTTCAGGTAAGAAATGGAAGAATGCCCATACTGTATACTTTTAAAGTCCATGTCTTAAGAACAACAACTTGTCACAGACTGTTGACGTGAAGGGCTGGGTTGAGATCTTCACTTGAATTTGCATAAATCCTGGAAGCTTTTAAATATGTGCATGTTTTCCTTAAAAATAAAAAAGTTTGGACCCCTTTTGATATTGTTTATGTTCAAGGGAAGAAGGCATGTTGCTGAGATTTATTTATATATTTAATAAAGGCTAGTTAATACATCTTCTACATGTGGACTGAGAATAGTGTTTCATGTTATCTATGTACAGTTATTCACCAAAATGTGGTTCCTTTCCTAGTTGACTTATGCCTGCATTGAATGGTAAACTCTGCCCACCAATGCAACCTAAAACAATGGTGGTGGTGGATGATGAAAATTTATCCCAAGATGAAACAGAAATACATTGACCCTTAATTATACAAAGGTCATAGAGTCACAGAGTTGGAAGAGACCACAGAGGCCATCCAGTCCAATCCCCCGCCATGCGGGAACATCCATCAAAGTACTTCCAACAGATGGCCATCCAGCCTCTGCTGAAAAACCTCCGAAGAAGGAGACTGCACCACCCTTCAAGGCAGCCTATTCCACTGCCGGGCAGCTCTGACCATCAGGAAGTTCTTCCTAATGTTCAGATGGAATATCTTTTCCTGTAGTTTGAAACCACAGGAAAAGATATTCCATCTGAACATTAGGAAGAACTTTCTGACGGTCCATTCCCTCGACCTCAACTTTTGCCACTTCCTGTTCAAATTGCATGAAAATATCAGGCAGTGAGCCAAGTTAAAGAATACAACCCAGGGATGTTTGAGAACTGAGTAAAGGCTTCAGCCAAGTGGCAATTTGTACCGATGTACAACCTTTGAGAAAGCTCTGCACTGGAAGCTATTGAACAAAAATTTTATTTATTTATTTATTTATTTATTTGATTTGATTTGATTTTTATACCACCCATCTCATCTGGCCGCCAAGGTCAATCTGAGTGGTTTACAAAACAGGATAAAACATAACAACAATGATAATCAACAAGAAACGAAATATAAAAGGAACTAAACAAATTGCACTAAGGGACCACATAATGAAAGCATAATAAAGTAAAATAAAAGCATGGTGATAGGTAAGATGTTAGTCATTGGGAACACTATAGAGATAGGGTGTTTTAAAATCCAGAAAGGTTGGTATTTGGAGAAGATGAGATAAAGTTTGTTTCCAACACAAGCATAAAACAATAATAGAATCATAGAACAGCTGAGTTATGAATGAATTCCTGGTAAGTATTCCAGTTCAGGACACCACAGTTCAAGAAGGATGCTAACAAATTGGATGAAGTTCAGAGGAGGGCAACAAGGATGATCAGGGGGCTGGAAGCCAAGCCTTATGAGGAAAGACTGAAAGAATTGAACATGTTTAGCCTTGAGAAAAGAAGACTGAGGGGTGATATGATAGCCCTTTTCAAATATTTGAAAGGCTTTCATACAGAAGAGGGGCATGATCAGTTCTCAATCATCCCAGAGTGCAGGACACACAACCATGGGCTCAAGTTAAAGGAAGCCAGATCTCAGGGAAAACTTCCTAACTGTTAGAGTAGTACGACAGTGGAACCAGTTACCTCGGGAGTGGGCGAGTGCTCCAACACTGGAGGCATTCAAGAAAAACTTAGATAATCACCTGGCAGATATGCTTTGATTGTATTCCTGCGCTGAGCAGGGGGTTGGACTTGATGGCCTTGTAGGCCCCTTCCAACTTCACTTTTCTATGATTCTATGATATTTTAGTTTCTGAACAAAAAAAAATCCAAATGGTGTTTCAGTTCCACTAGTTAGCATTCAGGACAATCACTGAAGTATCAGTTTAAAGAGCACTTTATGACACAATGTATGAAATTAATAATCAATTATGTTTTGTTTTTGAATCAAAATTAGGATTGAGATCAGGTTCTCTGATCATGGAAGATAAAGCAATTCCATCCAGTCTTCTAGTTGCTGGAAGTGAAAAAGTAGAACCCAAGAATATACCCATACTTGTTGTTGCTCATGAAGATGGTCGTATTTATCTCTGGACTATCATGGTAAGCTCTTTTGCATAATTGAATTGAGATAATGAATGACACAAGCAAGAGCTTTATAATTGCACTCTCAGTCAATGGATTCCATTATGAGAGGATTCTTCTGCTTTATTATCTGTGTTTCTCCTGTTTCTTGTTTCTTGTAGAAATAGATACAGCTATTGCCATTTCTGTTTCTTTAGCAATGGGAAGGAGTAAAATTTGCAAAAGGAAAATCCCAGTTTATTCATGAAGGCTTTCACAGCTGGGATCTAATGGTTGTTGTGGGTTTTTCAGGCTCTTTGGCCGTGTTCTGAAGGTTGTTCTTCAGAAAGTTGGTGAAACGTTAGGAAGAACAACCTTCAGAACATGGCCAAAGAGCCCGAAAACCCACAACAACCATAAAATCCCAGTTGTTAATTAATTATGGCTTGAACATCACTGCCATTGTCCATGAAAGATCCTCCACTGACATTACCTTCCACTCCTGCTACTTGCCAATAGCTAATCTTAGCAGTTTCTCTGCGCTTATTATCATTGGAACTGCCAAGTCTTTTCTGATGCTGTGATGGTTAATTTCTGAAGAAGATGCATCTTAATGTGGTCTCAGCTCTGACCAGTCTGCTAGGATACTGGATTTATGATAGAATCTAGCCTCCTGATGGCATTGTTCTCAGCTTCTCTAACACACTCAGACTCCCTCACCATTTTAAAGTGTGCATCCAAGGGTATGTGGCTAAGACTAAACCTTTGTGAAACACTACATTCACCTCTACCTTTTTAGCAGCCCACTATGAGAACTGAATTGTCTTTCAGAATTAAGGCTTAAAGTTCATCCTTCTCATGTCAGTTTTGTTGCAGCTCCTTGACAGAGTGCCATTGGCACAGAAAACAGCCAGCTCACTGATTGCTCCTGCGTCACCTCAGGTTTCTAATATTAGAATAATTCACATGCTCAGACAAAATTGAATTTGAAAGCAGACCAAAGTACCCATAAGAGAGGAGTTTTCAGATTGCTGATCCCAGCCTCACCACTGCATGAGCAGTCGTAATTAGTACTGGTGATAGCCCTGCATTAATAGCTAGTTGTTGGACAGTAATAAAGGTAGGGCAGAAGAGTGTGACAGGTCCTCAACATCACATCAGGAATACACTTGTGAATGTTTATTTTTTTAACTTTAGCTTTAGCTATAGATACATTTGTATTAGCTCATCCATTAAAAGAGGGCGTCTCTATCCTGTTGTACGGGGTTCCAAAAAAGGTCCTGGGATGCAGACAAATGTACTTTCATGTGTTCATATGCCCAAAAATGAAATCTCTTTTCTTGAGCTGAACCACTCCCTTGTTTACAACATTGCTCCCTGTAATAATACTTTAGAGCTCAAAATGAAGATTTAAATTTGGTGTATCTCAAAACATAGTGTGATAACGTAGATCAGTGTGACTCATGTAGTCCTCAAGCCAAGCTCCAAACATCATACAATTTTGCTTTCTTAAAAGAAAGGATGATTATTAATTTTTTTGTTTGTTAAGGGAGATCTACTAAGAGAAATTTTGCCATTCACAAAACATCCTCCAATTGCTGTAACAGCATTATGCACTGGAATATCTGCTAAAATGCTGTTTGCTTCTAATAAAGGTAAGCAATCATTTCTCAGCAATGTTTATAATAAAAATTTGTAAAGATCGTTCCCCCAGTATTGCTGAAAACAAACATGAACATCTCTCCAGATCCTATTCATCCTTCATCTTAGAGAAATTGTTCACTGACATCAGAAGGCATTTGGGGAGGGAAAAAAAACAATTGTTCTATAAGAACGCCAATAATGAAATATTTATTTATTTATTTATTTAAATCATTTTTACTCTGCCTTTCCCTTAAAAAGGACCCAAGCTGGCTCACATCATTAAATACATTTAAAAATGAAAAACAGTAAATATAAAAATATTTAAAAGAATTAAACAAATATTATATTTTAAATGTAAATTAAATAAATGTCAAAAAAAAACTTAAAAGCAACAAGGCACAATAATCCATTTAAAACCCCTCTCAGACAGCCAGTCACTGAGGGAAAGCCTGCCTGAAAAGTCTTTATCTGCTTGTGGAAGGACAGCAAAGATGAGGCCAGCCTGGCCTCCCATGGGAGGGAGTTCCAGAGTCTGGGAGGAGCAACAGAGAAGGCCCTCTCTCATGTCCCCATCAAATGTACCTGTGGTGGTGGTGGGACTGAGAGAAAGGCCTTCCCTGATTATCCTGGCATTCAGGCAGGCACTTAAAGGGAGTCGCAGTCCTCGAGATAGCTTGTACCCAAGGCATTTAGGGCTTTATAGGTTAAAACCAGCACTTTGAATTGTGCCTGAAAATGTATCAGTGGCCAGTGGAGTTCCTCTAAGAGGGTGGTTATGTGATCCCTGTAACCAGCCCCAGTTAACAGTCTGGTTCCAGCATTTTGGATGTGCTGAAACTTCTGAATACTTTCCAAAGTCAGCCCCACATGCAGCGCATTACAGTAATCCAGCTGGGACATAACCAAAGCATGTGTCACCGTGGTGAAATCAGACCTCTCCAGGAACAGAGCTAATTAACTAGTTTTAATTGTGTAAATGCACTCCTGACCACCATGAAAACCTGCGTATCTCAGTTTATAGACTAATCCAGGGACACACCCAAACTACACACCTGTGTTTTCAGATGAAGTGTAATCCCATCCAGCACAGGCTGAATCCTTATTCCTTGCTCTGCCTTTTGACTGACCAGGCACAACTTGGTCTTGTCTGGATTAAGTTTCAGTTTATTCACCCTCATCCAGTCCATTACTGACACCACATAAGCCCTACTGAGGCATTTGCCTGAATGTGTGAAGAGCTAATATTATGAAGTCTAAGTGACTAACAAGGACCCGGTGTGGTAAAACCACTTCTTAATTGTCTCACTTACCCTGAAAGTCCTATTAGGTTTGCTATTAGTTGGTTCCAACTCAATGGCACATAACAACAACAGCAAGTGACTTATAAGAATATTCGGGGGAGAGTACAGATCTGTGTGCCTCTCTATCCTGAACATGAATTTAGTCCTACACATGGGAAAGGAGTGGCTGCTACAGCTATTAGGAACACAATCCTATACAGGTCTACTAAGATACATGTCAACATTTAGTGAGACATTCTTATGCATTGCAGACTTTTGAATTAATCACTTCCCAAACATCCTGTCATTAACAAGGCTTGTTCAGGTTTAAAATTGCATTGATCTAAAAGTATAGTATATTACTTTTATTAAGAGATTCTTTATATCTCCCTCCAGTTAATACCTGACTCCTTTTTTCCCCTTTCTTCTTGTATTTTTTCCTCTTCTTTTCATCTTGAATAACCTGTATATTGATGTATAAATATTTTGTTATATTTTATATGTTGTGTTATGTATGTTGGAAGCCACCTAGAGTGATCGTTCGACTAGATAGGCGGGGTATAAATAAATAAATAAATAAATAAATAAATAGATAGATAGATAGATAGATAGATAGATAGATAGATACATACATACATACATACATACATACATACATACATACATACATACATACATACATACATACATACATACATGAATATACTAATTTTTTTTTTGTTTCTTTCAAACATGTTTGAAGGCTTTGATGATTTTAAAGGCCAGATTAGAATTTTTTCAAAAATAAATCAGATAGTTTAACAATAGAAATCATACTCCTTGGGGAAACCATAGGCTCAATTTCAAAAGTTAATGTGCGGTTTGCTTGTTTTTTGTGACCTTGATTGATTGATTGATTTACACCCCACCATTCAACAGGTTGCCACTTTTATGCAAAGACTGGGAACTAAAGAGGTGCCCTTCCAGCTACATGCTAACAAAGTGAGCTGTCAAACTTGGCAAATGATGTGGTTTTGGGCTTTCTTTCTCTCTGTCACCCTGCCCAGAATTAGTAAACTGAAAAAGATGATTAAAGCTAAATTCAGACAAGGATGATAATAACCGGCCTGAGGATATGAACATCTTTATTCTGTCCAGTGTATGCTTACTTGGCAGTAATTCAGTGGGACTTGCTTTTAAGTGTATGCCCAGCTTCTAAAGGTGCAGGATCCCTCTTCTCTTTCATGTGCTGTGCCCCAATCCCAGACAATTTACACTTATAGATTTTTGATGCTCCTTAAAGACATTGTTATTCAGGTGGCTGCAAGCAGGCAGGAGTCCTTTTAACCAGTTCTATCAGATGAGTTGGAGATAATGACTTTTCTCATGTTTTTCCAAAACTTTGAGGGTGAACACATCCTGTCCCAATTTTTAGCTATCATAAGTTTGAGGGAAACTTGGATATATGGAAAATCTTCACAACATACATAATTGCAAGAAATGGTGTAATACAGTACGGAGAATACTTAAAATTATGTTTGCTACAAATCTGACTATCATGAAATTGTTATTGGCAGTAACATTTGCTATCACTTAAGTGATGTTTATATTGTAGTATCAATATGATTTCACAATACGAATGCAACTACAATATGGCTATTTTTCCCTGATTTAAAAATAGTATAAGAATTCCTGTCTAAAGTGAGAAAGATCAATCTATTGTTAAGAGCTTCATTATATATTATGTTTTATCTGTGTGGTTGTATGAGCCAGAGGGAGAATATTTGCATTGCTGTTTGTGAAATGACACACTTGTTTAGTTCAATGTAAATGTCCTGGGAATATGTTGCAAATCACTGCTTCCTGTGGCACAGATGCATAGCTAAATAAGTGTGTAGCCTATTTATGTTATAGTTATGCATTCAAATGGAAACTGTTCCTCTTTACAATTCTGTACAGGGTTCTTAAAATCTCTTTTCCCCCTTTTATTTCCTCTTATTGACAAATTTTGAGTAAGGAAAAAAATGGTGGCTTGAGATTAATAATAGTTTGGTCTAGCAGTGCATGTTAACCCTCATGGTCCAGGAGAAAAGCAAAATAAAACTGGTATTGTATTGTGTGAGTTGTGTGGTATTTTCTGACTCCTATGAGAATCACATTATATTGCAAGGTACAAAAATGTTCCGTGTCCAAATAAATGTTTGGATGTATCATCTGTGTTCCTACCAAATACCTAGAGCCAGATAATACAAGGTGAAATAAAAACAAGATGAAATATAATGTACACTTCTTACATGGTGGGATATTTCCTGGTTTCTATTAATCCAGTCACCTCCATGGAAGAAATTTAAATTCTCTCAAATTGTAGATAACTTAATGACAAGCCAGAGAGAATCATTTCTCGTTTCCCACAAAAATGGTTTTGTGAAAAATGACATGAGATTTTTCTCTTACCAATAAGGTATGTTTGCTATGACAAAAAAAATACTCCAATGTCAAAAAAACAATGGATTTTTTTGCCAGTTATACTTGGCTTGCTAAAAACATGTGTGTGCAAGCTCATAAGGCTTGGTTTCATTGCAAGTCAACTACTATGTCAACCCTGCACAAATTTATTCCAGATTAATTTTTTAAAATAAAGCGTGCTGAGGTCTCACTATAGGCTTCCCTGTGAAGTTTCTCTCCTTCCATTGTAATTAGGAAGCTATTCTCATGACACCCTCCCCCCATGTGCTAGAAACTCTGGGAAATACAGTTTTCTAGGTTCCTCTCAAACATACTATTAAAGTGCAGCACTCTATAAATTTTGTTTATCAAGGGCCCTGCCATTGCTACAGCATTTGAGGTAACAAGGAAGGAAAGAGTTAAGAATATATGAAAAAGGTAGATGTAATCTGTTATAGTGTATAGGGATATTCCATCATATCCCTCACCAAATCACAAGGAAAGGAAACCAAAACTATCTACATTTTGGAACAGGGTTCAGAAACCAGCAAAATGTTTTCTGATTTGTATTAGAAATATAAAATGTCCCAGGAAGGTGTCACAATTCCAGCAATAAACGAGCAGCCTAAACCAATAGTAGATTAGGCATCCTTCATTCTCGAGAGACTATGGTAATGTGCTCTGTATCGAGGACTTGGAAAAGCATCTAGTATGGCTATATTCGAGAGTGACAATCCCTTCCACACTGAAGACAAATACAATCTGTCCCCTGTCCAGCTCCCTGATTTTGCTGCTTTCAGGACTGCCTCTTTGCCTCGACCTGCTGGACAAGGGTCTCTTCAAATTGGGAGAGGCCGTGATGCACTGCCTGCCTCCAGGCTGAGTGTTCAGATGTCAAGATTTCCCATCTGTTGAGGTCCATTCCTAAGGCCTTCAGATCCTGCTTGCAGATATCCCCGTATTGCAGCTGTGGTCTCCCTCTGGGGCGATTTCCCTGCACTAATTATCCAATAATATAACCAATAATATAACTGGTGGTTTTGCTTAAGAAATATTTTTGTTCATCTGAACCATTACAGGTGGAAAGGATCCAAATAAGGACATCAAGACTTGTTTTATTATCATGTCTAGTCAAAACAATTTGATTTTTCACTAACAGGCTCCAGGAGATTTTATTTCAATGTGTAAAATTCAGTTGCTTAATTTTACGATGTTCTTAGCTCTTATTTATGACACTCACGAGCCATGAAATTATTGTTAGGCTGATTCTAGGATAGTTACATAATACATAAAAAAACTACTTTAAATGGGTGATTTCTCTTACAGAGGGTCATGTTATCCGATGGAATGTTGGCTCATTCTTAGAAGATCCTCTTGATGCCAACAAGGTAAGGAAAATGGAAAATGAATATTTTAAGGGCTTGTTTTCATATCTTTATATAAAAATGATTATTGCATGGGAAATGTTTTGAGATTTCACCTAACCCATTCAATTTTGCCCATATTCTTTGCTTGCTTCAACTGTAAATCAGAATGTTCATTCAATGTTATCAGAAATTCAGTGTTATCAGACTGGAATTATCATATACTGTATTAGAAAATCTGAAACAGGTGAATTAATTGAATTCTGGGACACAAATGTTTGTACTGTCACAAGCTATCCAATTTACCATCCATCTCTTTCTCTTAAAAAAATCCAGATTGTATAGAGTTCAAAAATACAAGTTCCTACACTGAACAAATTGGCTTCACTTTTTGTTTGTTTGTTTGTTTTGTTCCTGGCTCATCATAGGGAGAGAGGTGCTGGAGTGGAATTGAATTCATTGCTTTCTGCTAATCAGGAGAATTCATTTTATAGTGAAGCCACAGGTTCAAGTTAGTCCTTAACCCTTGCTGCACTGTGGTTTCCTCTCTTAAACATTTCCAGCTTCTTGAGTTGTGTTTGTCACACAGTGATGGAAAATGACTGATGAAAAGAGGTTGCAGGAGAAAGTAGGGACCCCTTCCCCTTTTCCTTTTCCATACCCTTGCCACTTTCAAATTGCATTTTGTTAACTGTCTCCCAGACCTGAGTTTCTACTAAACAGGCTGGAAGATTATAACAGGAATAAGTGCAAAGTTCTACACTTAGGGAGAGAAAACAAATGCACAGTTACAAGATGGGGGATACTTGGCTCAGTAATACTATGACCAAAAAGTGACTTGGAAGTGTTGTAAATCATAAGCAGAGTATGAGCCAACAGTGTGATGTGGCTACAAAAAAAGCCAATGCTATTTTGGGCTGCATTAACAGAAACATAGCCTCCAAATCCTGTGAGGTACTAGTCCCCCTCTACTCGGCCCTGGTTAGTTGTCATCTTGATTATTTTAAGAAGGATGCCAACAAAATTCAACAAGTTCAAAGGAAGGCAACAAAGATGATCAGGGGACTGGAAACCAAGCCCTATGAAGAAATACTGAAATAACTGGGCAAGTTTTGTGTTGTGAAGGGAAGACTAAGATATGATAGCACTTTTCAAATAACACTTGAAAGACTGTCATACAGAGAAGAGGCAGGCTCATCCCAGAGTGCAGGGCACGTGACTATGGATTGAAGTTACAGGAATCCAGATTTTGGCTGAATATCAGGAAAAACTTCCTGTTAAAGCAGTCTGACAGTGGAACCAGTTACCTCGGCAGGTGGTGAGCACTCCACTGCTGGAGGCATTCAAAAGAAAATTGGGCATCCATCTGTCAGATCTACTTTGATTTGGATTCCTGCATTGAGTATGGGGCTGTACTTGATGGCCTTATAGGCCCCTTTCAACTCTATTATTCTATGGGTCTATGATTCCGTGATTTGTTTTATACAGTACATGTAGAAAAATTCCACTCCACAGTTCACAATCTAGTGCAATATACAATGTGCACTGTTGGCAAAATCCATTACCAGCCTGGTGAAAGTAACTCTTCAGTTTCTGCTACAGATGTCAACTATGTGGATGTCAGAGGTTCTTAATATCCACCAAAAGTAGCAACGGTGACAGAAACATTGGTATGTTTTTTCCCCTGCAGCATGTAAAGCAGCAGATTTGCTGGCGAGCTCATTCTCTCAAAATAGTTGACCTGTTCTTTGATGAAGAAAAAAACCTTGTAGTGACTGGTTCTATTGATAGTTCTGTCAGGTAAGTTACACTCAGCTGGAAGTTAGCTTAGAATTTGGCCTGTTTGTTACCATGTCAGAGTTATCTTTCTGTTTGCATCCCATCAGTTTCACATCAGCCTAAACCACCCCAGGGAAAGCTGAGATGTGTGGCATGCAAAAATGCAGATGTGGTCAGCTTTAGAGCTGGAGAGCAATTGGCATCTATTGGTCCTCTCCTGATGATAGGACCAGTTTCTCTTTAGTTTTTGGAGTCTCAGGGAAGCTTATCTTGGCCATACTTGGAACTCCTGACAGCAGCCATGTTTTCCTTCCATAGTACGCAAGATGCTAAGTGGACTTTCCCCCCAAAAAGGTATCTGACATGACCACTACAAAATCATGGTCAGTGCCAGGAGTCAGGAGAACATTTTTCTTTTTTTAAAAAAAAGATAGCTTGTGGAAGTACCAACAATTGTTCATGCTAGGAAGTTTATCTACCACCTGTCTCAAAATGGCAGAAGGCCCAGCTGCAGTTTTACTTCATGGGAAACCTACTGGATAATCCTTCTATGGAAAAAAAAACCTATAGGTTGAGGAAGTTATTTAGTTACCAAACGTACTCCTGTTAGGTGTATATACTGGCCCCTTAATATATTTTACTAACATATATTCATTTAGAATTTTTTAAAAAATCTTATCTTTTTGGATAGCATTTTTCTATGACATAACTAGAAGACTCTCTTTTTCTTCATGTTTAAAAGTTGATATTTGCACAATTAAAATTACTGGTCATTTCTAAAGAAGTCTGACCTAGCCACGGTGACACATGATTTAGTTACATCCCAGATGGATTACTGTAATGTACTCTACTTAGAACTGCCCCTGGAAAGTGTCCAGAAATTTCAGCGGGTCCAAAACACCAAATTATTAACTGGGGCCGGTCACAGGGAATACATGACCCCCTCCTGTTACAGCAGCTCCACTGGCAGCCGATTCACTTCTGGGCACAATTCAGAGCGCTCTGTCTCTAACCTTTAATGGCTAGGGTCCAAGCTATCTCAAGGACTGCCTCTCCCTTTATGAGCCTGCCCAGGTGTTAATATCACCAGGAAAGGCCTTTCTCTTTGTCCTGCCACCTTCACAGGTGTGTTTGGTGGATGTGCTGGAAAGGGCCTTCTCTGTTGCTGCTCCTAGACTCTGGAACTCCTTCCCACAGGAGGTCAGGCTGGCCCCATCTTTCCTGTCGTTTTGTAAGCAGGCAAATATATTTCTCTTTAGATAAGCTTTTCCTCAGTGATTTGCTGCCTGAGTGGGTTTTTTGATAGTTTCCTTTACTGCCTTACTGCGTTGAATGTGTTTTTTGTGTTTCCTTTGTTTACAAATTTTTAGTGTGGTGTTTGTTTGAGCCTTTTTAGCATTTGTATACTTACTGTTTTCAGCATTATTATTATTATTATTGTGAATTTCGTTGTATGGTATACTGTGTATATACTTACAATGACAATAAATTATATTATTATTATAAATTGTCTTTTAACAATGTAAGCCACATTGGGTCCTTTTTTAAAGGAGAAACATGGGGAAAATATTTTAAGTAAGTAAGTAAATAAATAAATAAATAACACTTTAATTTTTATTTCTTGGGCTCCTTTCATATGAAGACTCTGGAATTCCCACAGTGGCCACTACCTAGGTTACTTTGGTCAGCGCAGATTGTTTGAAATTTCTGAACCCACTGATATAATTTTGCCCTGTGATGTAAGTGAAATGCCCTTCACAATAAAAGAAGACAGCAAATATATGGAGAAAAAGCAGAAATTTGAATATCCTCTGGTCCTTGACAGGGAGAGGTAAGGTTGCATTGTTCTGCATAAGATTGTTATGTCTACAGTTTCTATGGCACTAACGTCTAGGAGCATATCTACAGCATAAAAGTCCACTGCAGATTTGATATTTAAGTATCATCACATTTCAGATCATGAAAGTTATAGGACCAAGAAGCTCTTTAGCATCAAGGCTGAGTCTTCAATCTGCTCCAGATATTTTGCACAGTCCTCTGATAGTATTTGTGCAAGGATGGTTACAAACTGATCATTGTTCAAATTACTAGTGGGCTGAAGATGCTGGCTCCTATCCATGCTGGCTCCTATCTTTTGCAATGGTGCCTTTAACTGCTGTTTAGAAAGCAATGGGGACACAGTACTGTATGGCTAAAGTTATAGTAATTCTAGTTAAAAAAGGAAGGAAGGAAATAAAATTCCCACAGAAAGAGGGAAATTCCCCAGAGAAATAGTGTGTGAGGAAGAATATGTAACATCCAAGTTTATTGTGAAAGTCACTCCCCTTCTGCTACAAAGTCACTTAACTGAAATGCAACCTCATCATTTTAATGAAATGGAAAATCAATCTCCAGTGATCAGTGGAGATAGGCATCTGAACCAGGTACAGTATTCACCAATAAACACATACATGGTGTGTTTGGAACTGCAAAATAATACATATTTTCTTCTGATGCTGAGTACAGGATGAAATTTACATGCCATTATATCCCACCAATAATAAAACACATTATTCTTCACAAATAAATCTGGCTGGACTTTAAAACGTCTGTCATAGTATATTGTAACTTCCCTCTTATCCATTACTGCTGACTACAGTATCTCTAACTATAGTTGCTGACAAGGATGACATAGAAATATTTAATGTCAGTAGTATACAGGAGGAAATTGATAACACACCTGTACAGAATGTGCTGATAATCATAGGTGATTAGAATGCTAAAGTGGGAAATAAAGCAAACCAAACAGGAGCTGGGTGTCATCCACATACTGGTGACTGTGGGGGTGCCATTCCCAAGGTTGCTAAACTGTTGGCTTAATCTACAGTAGAGAGTTAACCCCCCTGGATGACATCACAGCTGCTTCTGAGAAGCATGACTGCCCACCATTCTTCTTCTTTCTCATAGATGCTAGAGAGCTTGCATAGAGCCTTTCCTTAGGCCAGTCCTAAAGGCATGATGTAACCATTGTCTTATCTGAACTCTGTAACCTATCTGTATACGGTCCGCTATCTGTGAGCTTGTGAGGTTAATAAAAGCACAGTCCTCCTGGGGGGGCAGGGTAGAATTCATTGGGAACCCATTCGGTGTTCTTCTGCCTCTTCTACTAGTCGCCCACCAGGAACACTGCTGGCAGACATCCCTGTGTGTGTGGCTCACTTCTTTAACTTCTATCTCTAAGAGACTATTTGCTATCCTAATTATCTGGTGATTATCACAAAGCCCATCAGCCTTCTCACTCTGGACAATTTCTCCCAGTGATTTTATGTATACAGTATATTGAATAGCATAGTTCAGTTATAAATCCAAATAGAAGCTACAGCCAAGAAATCAGAAGACTATGGTTTGGAAAGATAGTGACAAAGGAACCAGAAGAAGAAAAAAAAACTGGAATAATATATGTAGACGTGTCACTAGAGATCAAGGCCAAGATCATCCATACTGTGATGATCCCAACTGTTATGTACAGATGTAAAGTTGGACTATGAAGAAAGCCAACAAGAACAAAACTAATCCATGTAAAACATGGTGTCAGGAAAGAGCTTTGAAGATACCAAGGACCACCTGAAAAACAAACGTGAATGCTAAAACAAATCACACCTGAATTCTTTCTAGAAGCAAAAGCAACTAAACAAAGGCTATTGTGTTTTGAACACATAATGAGAAGACAAAGCTCATAGGCGAACTCAGCAGGAAAAGAGGATGGCTAAATATAATTTATTCAATAAAGGAAGCTATGGCCTTCAGTTTGGAAGGCCTAATTAATTCTGGGATCTTTTGAAGGTCACTAATACATATAGTTGCAGAAAAACTTGACAGCATATAGCAGCAGCACCATTGTTTAAAAGCCCATACACACATACAAACAGAAACAAACTAATGAGTTCATCCCAAAAAGCCACCAAAATACACATCTTTAACAGAATAAATAGACAATAAATTAACCTATAAACAATTTTTTAAAAATCAGACTAGGGGAAATGCCCATATACACACATGGGGAAAAATAACAAAATAAAGCATAGACAGCAGCAATAATAATCCAAGAAAGGACAGCAACAACAGATGATGAGCGAGAAAAGTCCCCCTCCCAAAAATCTGGGGCCTAAAATTCAAATAATTGTCCTAAAGAGTCACACTGACACATGTAGGCTGCAACAAAAATCATCCAAATAATTTTTTTTAAAAAAATCCACCACAAAATCAAGGACAAAAAAGTCAAAGAAGGAGGGGACCAAGATGGAGGCATAGAGCTAAACTGGCTTGTTGGGTGGGAAGCAACACAATCCAAGATGAAGGACACCAGGAGTTCACACACCCACAAGGAAGGACTGAAGCAAGGAAAAGCACTCCTCACTAGGCTCCAATCAAGTCAGAGATTCGAAATTCACATTCCAAACGTTTAGATATTCTACTTGGCTGCTTTGACGGCCTATCACAACGCTATTGGATGAAAAAATTCCCAAATGGTTTGACAGACAAAAGATGAAAAAAAAGATCGCACCAAAGAGGGAACGCACACAAAAATGAAACTTTCCTGCGCTCCTCTTTTGTTAACACAAACAGTCTCTTAGGAACTCTCTTCTACCAGCAACAAAAGAACATGAAAGCAAAAAAGATACCTTCTTGTTTTTCTTTCTTCATTTTGTTTAAACATGAAAGGTCCATCTGTCCATAACATTTGACCATTAATCTTTCTTCCTCCTTTTAACAGATGGAAGACTCTAACCAGAAGCTCTTTAAATTTGAGAAAACCTGGGCCATATGAAGTTGATCAGGATTTCAAGTTTTTCAAAGCCCTGGCTTCTCCTAAGGTATTAAGATTCAGTTGGTACTTGAAATGTTCTTGAATTTTGCAAACAGAATAAAGAAAATAAAGAACATTTTCACACACAGTAACACTAAGCATAGTTTAATGTTCACAGTTTTGTAATTCATCACCAATGCACTTTGCAGTCTACAACATACATACATGTTTTTAAAAGCTCCCTGCTTTCTGATGTATATTTTTAATGTTCACACATGCATTAAAATGAAGGGATTGCCACTCTCAAATTGGCCTTCTCAGCCACACTAGACACTGTTCCAAGACCGCTATTCGGAGCACGTTAACATAGTCTCTTGAGATTGAAGGTGCCTAGTAGATGCATTAAAAAAACTAAACTTTCCTCCACTATTCTGTGATGAAATAGATGCATTAAAAAAACCTAAACTTTCCTCCACTATTCTGTGATGAAAAAAATGTATGTTGTTGCCTATTTAGTTGCAATGCAAGGGTTTTTCTTGTCCAGAACATGTAACAGAATCTATATCCTTCGTCCTGGCTTGAGACTGATCTGGAATTCCATGGATCAGCAGGTGAGGGCCAACTCATATGTGAAAACACTGGAATCGATTACTGTTTGCCTCCGGACACTCATCTGTAGATGCAGGTTTTTGCTGGAAGATTAGTACTATATTGGCTGCAAAGTGTTACATTAACTGCAAATTGATGACTAAAAGCTATACAACCAGGAAAAGGTAGTATTTCCTTTCCTAGAAGTGAAAATATATTGACGATACTATTTCTCTTTTATAGATTCACAAACAGCCTCTGGAAAGTTTCAAACCTGGCAACAAAGAAACTGGTGCTGTATTTGGTGCTATACCTATATACAAGGTAAGTTCAAAGTAAGCTGCTTAAATTGATGTTTCATAAGTGAAGAAACAATAACATTTAGGTAATTATCGACATCATTCTCAAATCTTGAATTGCCACCATTTACTTCTCAGCATTGATTTTTTTTTAAAAAAAATGGCCTGTATTCTTCCTTGTACACCGCTTTCCCGCCCTCATGTCTAATGTATCAACTCTCTTGTAAGATTCATTTCAGTTCACATATCATAGCTGGAAACATTTGATTTGTGCTAAGCTGAGCTAGATTTAGTGCAAACACAGTATATATTTACTAAGACTTCCATGCTTCCAGTCATAATGAATAAATACCATCTTCAGTATCAGAGGCAGGTATAACCTTGAATACTGTTAGCAAAGGAACAAAAGCAAGAGGGTCATATTGTACTCTTGTTCTTCTGGCAGGCTCCCCAGGGGCAGCTGTTTAGCCACTCTTGGAGTTGCATGTTGGCATAGCTAGACATTTGCTTTGGTTTAGTACAGTTCTTGCAGGCTGAATAGCATTAGGTAAGAGGTCATGAGTTCAATTCTCCTCATGCCTTCCAGGGGGGGCAGGCATCCTATAGCCTTAGGGACCCCTGGAAGAAGAGAACAGTAAACCACTTCTTAGTACTCTACAACAAGAAAATGCTGAAAAGGATCACCATAAGTCAAAATCAACGCGATAGCATGCAATTATTGTAATTAGTACAGTTTCAATGTAATTTCTTTGAGCCTTTCACCTATTTACAGAACATATGCTAATAAAGGCAAACACAGAACACTGCTATCAAATACTGAAAGCTGGAATCTAAGATACCAGATTTTATTTCTTGTGGTGCCCTAAATGCTGCAAACACTGCACTACTGGCTGAATCTTCAGTTCATTTGTTAGTTATATGAAATTCTTGTATACCAACAAGATTGCAAGGATTAAAATTTAGAAACAAATTGGAAGGATTTTTCGAAAACGGATATGTTTTGGTCAAGGAATTAGGACTTAATTATTTTCCAATTCTAGTTTATCAGCAAAAGTTTGTCTTATGTTTTGTACCAAAAAACAGAACTTTTACAGCTTTTGCATCTGCTAGTCCTCACTATGAAGTCTGAAATCACAAATATCCCACTGAAAGTTATGGGGAGTTTAAAATTAGTGCAAATGGGAACAGCAGCATGTTTCAGCAGTTCTAGTTAGCTACCAATGTAGGAAGAATTTGTCATACTAACATTGTACTAAAGTGCGTATTTTTAAAAGTTCCTTCTTGATATCAGCATAGCAAAGTGTAAGATGCATTTAAATGCATTCTTCCATATAAAATTATTATACTTGATATTGCTTCACAAAACCCTATACATTTTGGGCCAAGGCTGTTTGAAGAACTGTAATAATAACTTTGTGCCCACAAATCAGTCTGATTTATACCAAGAGTCTAATTCTGTAGAAGTGTCTACAAGGGGCAAAATTACAGTTTGGTGTAACTACAGTGATTGTGACAGGCCCAGGGAGGAACACATATATCTGGAACTCCCTTCCACAGGAAACCAGGCTAACCCCATCTTTGCTGTCCTTCAGCAAGCTGGCAGAGACCTTTCTTTTCAGGCAGGCTTTTCTTAATGACTGCCTGTCTGACAGGGTTTATTTTTAATGGGTTGTTGTGCTCTGTTGCTTTTAATTATGTGTTAGTATTGAATTTATTTCCGAATTCTAATATAATACTTGTTTAATTTTTAATATTTGTATACTTACTTGTTTTAGCTTTAAATATTATCTTTTTAATGATGTAAGCTGCCTTGGATCATTTTAAGGAGAAAGGTGTGGTAAACATATTTTAAATAAATAAAATAATAAATAGATATATTGTTATGGAGGGCCCGTGTTGTCCATCCCTGCTACAGATACAACACAGATTGAGAAAACAGATATGAGACAGTGGGCATGTTAAAAATAATTCTTGCATTGTAGTAGCATCTGCACACTTTTCCCCAAAAGGAAAAAGAATGCTTCTGGCAAATGAAGGCAACACATACACTTATCTGCCCATAGATCTTTTCTATCCTGTTGATGCTACTTTAAAAGGTTATGTGCAATGTAGCATACAGCAGGTCTTGCCTGAACCTTAACCTCAATCCTATTGTCAGTTGTTCCCCTGCTTCAAATGTTTGAGCAAAGTAGAGTGTATCACTTTTTAATTCAGTAAGGGCTATATAACCCATTCTTTGGCATATTTTAAGATTGAAGGCTGTGAAGCTTTATATGGTATATACTGGAATTTAAATTCAAGTTTGAATCCTACCCTAATCATGTATTTTTGGATAGTCTTGGTAAGTCACTTATCTCAGCTCCAACTGCTCATTATGTAAAAAGAAAAAGAATAATATTGACTCACCATAAAGTTCTGCAGTGGAGCTGAAAATGATGAATGCAGTAAGGAAGTCTGCATACAGAAAGAACTCTTGAGAAATAAATCTCAAGAAACCTGTTAAGGGAATGTGCCTGAATGTACATTCCATAAAATCTTGTAACTGTGTACATAATGCTTGGGTTTTCTCAATTACTTGTGAAAGGTCTCAAGTCCTCAGAACCTGAAAACTCTTCCTGAAAATCAAGATGGCTCTATGGATAATATAAGGAAACGAAGCAAAATAATGTGCAGTTCAGTAAGTGCACTAATTGTTTCTTCATCTGGGATGCATGTTAAGGCAATAGGAATCGGCAACATGGGAAGAATGTTTGCATTTCAGCTTCAGCCAATAGAATCAAATCTGCCTAAATCCATACAACACATCTTCTATACTGATAGCCAGATTATTCTAAGTGGTTTATTGGTTGGCTACTTGACTGTTATCGTTTTTAACATGACACAAAGCTTGGAAGAGTAAGGAAAACAAATTATACTAATTCCCATATGTAAAATGTTTCTAGCATTCTTATTTAACCATAACCAACTTTCTAAGTCTACAAACCTTTCTAGAACTGCTCCCCTTGCTACACAGATATAGAGGAGAAGGAGAGATGATAGATTGCACTAACGCTTGTATCAAACATTATTCACTCACTGCAAGAACACTGTAATGAAAAACACACTGATTAATGGCTAACTTGTGTGTAAAGTACAGTACAAGCATAAGCTCTGTTCTTTCTTTTTCAGCCCTCACGTCTCAGCGTTCGAAGAGGTGCAAAATCCAGCCAGACACCATTGGCAGTGCCTTCTTGCCCTGCTGCTCAAAGTGCAGATACAAAAAACACAAAACAGAATGATATGTTGCAGTGGACATAAGTGAAAATAAAACCTTGAGAACAATGAAAAATCCAAGTTATCTGAATCTTTCTGTTCAGCAACCAAGCATGCCATTACCCGGCTAAAATCTAAGTAGTAGTTTCTTTGTCCACTATTAATAGAATTAATTACCAGATGGGGATACACAGGCTCTTTTCAAGATGAATGTGATTAATTAACAACACTGAGACGTATTTACAGAATTATGCCTCCCCTCTGTCCCAGGCTCTGGGCCAATGAGTTCCTGATTTTTATGTGCCATTCCCTCTGTTTGTAAATATCAACATTTTGCTAATTAGCCAGATGTGTAAGGCTTTTTATAATGTGTAGTAATTTTGCAGTTTTCTGTATTTCCAAGTTGCCAATCCACATTTAAGTGATTAAGTGCCTAAATAGTTACTTTTTAACTCCTACAGATCACATTAGCAGTAGCTAAGGATATATTTTACTGTTGTCCAGTTATGTTCAGTATAACAGCATTTTTTATATTAGCCAGATTGGCCAAAATGCCTTCTGCATTGCACCATTATTATCCATTATTATCTATAAATGTGTGCAAAAATACTGTATGCAGCATGTAAAATCTATAAAGTCAAAACAAGATTATCCTTGAGGTGAGATGCTTCTCTTCACAATCCTAAATTTAGCTGTTGTTTTAAAATACACAGACACACTGGCTAAAATCCTGTTGCTTAGTGTTAGAAGTTGCAACTAAAGTAGGCCCTTGGAATCAGGAGGCTCACCAAATGTCCACAAATTCAATGAGCCTACTCTGATTACAATTTACTATGCTAAGGAACAGGAGTTCAGCCACTGTTTTGCAGTAGCACATGCCATTTACATGAATTATGGTAACCTACTATTCTGCAGCTTTGCCCTTAAAAAAGTTCCTGTAGCACTTGAGTCAAAATGTTCTAGCTGACATATTTCAAGTGCTTTTAAGTAAACCACCAGTGAACTGACACTCATAAGATGAAATCTCTGAGTCCCCAGCATCACTTAGAAATCAATTAAATGTTCCCCATGTATGTTCTGACCCTGCTTGACCTGGCCGATGGGATATTACTTGATTCATTCCAGATTTCAGCTGCCTGGCCGTAGGTTGAAAGTAGAATTGAAAGGACATACTTATTTTTAAGTCAGTTCATAGAATTTAACTTATATTGGATGTCATATTTCAATGTATATCAATTTCCACACAGAGATACCACAAAAGGAGGCAAAAAGCCATACTCCTTATTTGACTGCTCTGCTGGATTCAAGTTACTTGCGATTCATTTGTTTGTAGTGATTTCTGTAGCTCTTTCCCCCTAGCAATGGCTCTAAAGGAAGAATCAAAGGACTTGACAGCATTTTGCCTAACAGCAGAGGAGAGCATCAGTGAGATGTAGCAGTTAAGAGTGATAGATTAGAAAACAGAAGACCTGGGCTCTTTGAGCCTGTCTCACATTCTCGACCTGATGTAACTCATAGGGTTCGCTATATATCTAAACTGCACCACACTCAGCTTTGTAAGCAATCCCACAGGAATCAAAAGGTAGCTTATGTATGTGATAGTTTAGTGGCCAAGAAAGATATCATCCATCTTTCTTTTTAGACAGGGTTGTCTTGAGGATAAAGTGGAAAGAATGAGATCTATGTATACTCTGAGTTTAATGGAAGAGAGATGGATACAAATGTGACAGAATTAATTAATCAATTCTTAGAACTACTTGGTCAGTTCTTCCTTTGGCTTTTCATCCTGAAAATGTATTGTTTTCTCTCCTTCTGTCCTTCCCCTTTTCCAGCTTTTATCCCAGCTGCTCACCTGCCTCCTGACTAGTCTAAATATTCATGGTCCTCGCCAAAATATTCCTCCCTCATTGGTCGACACCACTTACTTTCTGAACAAATCCACACAGTCTCATTTCTATTCCCATGCTGAAAACCAATAGAGCAAGTTGCTTGACTCCTTCCTCACTCCACCTTACAAGCTTTTCTTCTGCTACTGTCCACAACAATTGTCCTGTGGATATACAGTATGACAGGCTCCTTCTGGCCTTCAGAAAACAGGTGAAAACTTTATTATTTGAAGAGGCCTTCAAAAATATCTTACCCCTGTGACAACCTCACGGTTCCATGAAGTGGTTATTGTTTTGATTGGCCATCCAGGTTTCTTTTTCTTTAGATATTCAGTGTTTAATATTTTTTGTATCTCACTATTTATAACTTATGAGTGGGGGTGCGTAGCTGGGGTTTGTTTTTAAATGTTGTTAGCCATCCAAAGTAGTGCCTCAGCACTAGATGGTATGGTAAAGTTAAAGGTTCCCCTTGACAATTGTGTCCAGTCATGTCTGACTCTTGGGGGTGGTGCTCATCTCCGTTTCCAATCCATAGAGCTAGTGTTTGTCTGAAGCCAATCTTCCATGGTCACGTGGCCAGTGCTCAAGTTGCCCATCCACATTTAAGTGATTCTTGGCTTTTGCCTAAATAGTTACTTTTTAATTCCTACAGATCACATCAGGATATATTTTGCTATTGTCCAGTTATGTTCAGTATAACAGCATTGTTTATGTTGGCCAGATTGGCCAAAATGCCTTCAGCATTGCACCATTATTATCCATTATTATCTATAAATGTGTGCAGAAGTACTGTACACTAGATGGGTAGCGTATAAATGTAATGAATAAAATAATGAGTTTAAAATTATTTATGAATAGCATGCTTGTCAGAAAATCTAAACCAAATTTTTCAACCATTTCATGACAGGAGTCATCATGCAAAGAATCAGACTTTTCAGAAATGAACTAGTACCACAATGTGTTGCAATGTGTTTTCTCTGGAAAAAATAAAGTAATGGAGAAGGTCCTCATGTGTTAGGCTGACTGTGGGGGACACAGACAGAGCCTCCCAGAAGAATGTGATGACTGTGAGCACATTCAAGCATCCCTTGGTCAATGACTGCACTCTGTTGGCTGATCCTTCCACTCCAGAAAAACCGCTATTAGATTGCCCCTGCCATGGTCAAAAAGGAAGAATGGTTGCCACCGTTCCACTCCAGAAAAACCACTACTAGATTGCCTCTGCCATGGTCAAAAAGGAAGAATGGTTGCAATAACTGGTAAAAACCAAGCTTTAAGAGAATGCCCTCCAGCTTCCTATATTAGTCAAAATCTATCCAAGTAAGCCATCAATTGCTGAAACTCTTTTTTCCAAATACAGTAATATTGATAAATTATTTTCATTTCTGGAACATGAGAAATGGTTTGTAGGGCAGTGACTATTTTTCCTTAACCAGAAATCAAAGAGTATTCACTATATAGTACGTTTGAGGGTGGCATTCCATCTATGTAGAAAAATGGACTGTAGTCCATGAAGTCTGATTGCACAGTTAAGCTTGTTGATAGAGCCTCTCCATGGTTACCAACAAACTATATTTTGGTTCCAAACTGTTCTCATCTTATGTCATTCCTACAACTGAGCTTGGATACTACAGTTTCTTGCAAATTTTATATTCTAGCATAAAACTATAGACCTGGGAAATGGTTTGTGCTGTTTTTACAACAATTTAAGACAAAGAGGATTGAGACTGTCGAAGTTACTAGCTCTATATACATACTGTGCTATATTTACAGTAATACTTCTATAATAATGTCAGCATTGCTGTTCATTCATTGGCTCATCCATTCACAGTTTCTAAAATGCTCTTTTAAAAATATTATTCATTTACCAAGTGAACAGTTAGTTACAAATTGTATCATTCATGCTTTATGTTGTTATTACAAGCTGTCAAGTCACCTCCAACTTATGGAGAGCCTATGAATCAATGGCTTCCAAAATGTCCTGTCCTCAGCAGCCTGGCTCAGCTCGATGCTGTGGTCTCCTTCTTCCTTTTTTCCTGCTGCCTTAAACATTCACAGTATTACTATCTATTCCCACAAGTCTTGCCTTCTCGTGATGTATGACAGCCACAGTTTTGTCATTTTTGCTTTCAGAGAATGTTCAGACTTGATTTGCTCTGGGACCAACTACTTGTCTTTCTGTTGGCCCACGGTATCCACAAAGCATTCCTCCACCACTATATTTCAAACAAATGTATTTTTCTTCTTCACCCATGCACAGTAGTCCAGAATACAATAATGTGGAAAATCTTGGTCTTGGCTTCCAGTGACCCTTACAACTAAGGATCTTTTCTAATTCCTCTAGATATTGCTAGAGGTTATTTTCCTGCCTGCAGTCCATATGATACCCCATCTTTGCCAACATATCAGTTCTGTTAAGACATCCAGTAAAAGGGTTAATCTGACCCAAAGGGTATGGAGAGAGAGACCTCTCTTCTGTGAGCTAGACCTAAGACAGTGTAGGGCCGGCCTGACCTACATCCTCTTCCCAGGGATCCAGATTAAACCTTCTATCGAACTCCTGAATAGAAGTGCAGAAAAATGGCATTCCAGTAAAGGAAACTGGGCCACCTAATTGACCTACTTATCTTTGTGTTTTTTGAGAACACAATTCATTATATGACTAATACTATGACAGCTTTCCATGTTCTCCTTCTTACGTCAAAAATTACATACTAGCTTTGGCCATTGTTCTCTTTGTAACTGCTCTCTTGCAGCTGGAGGTTAACAGGAAATCTTGAGGCAGAATGTGAACAATTGATTAAGGTGCTGAATGTGAGGTAGAAAACCAGTGCATTTTTTAAAAAAGAATGAGGCTTTTGGAAAAAAATAACTAACCACACATTGAATCCTTTAGTAACTGATTAGTTTTCTAGCTAATTAGGACATACGAGTGGGCATAGCTTTGCCACTTTTGTTTCTTTCCAATATCATTTGGCAAGAAAGGGAGTAAAGCTTTTTTTTAATCACTTCAGCTATCTGATTTTCTTTTTGTAGTACTTAGCTGTGCTCTACCCCACACTTGCTCTTAGCTGTATGCCTGGACCATTTGAGCCCACCTGCGATACAAGTTTTCATCCTTCTAGGACAGCAGTCCTAGTAACGGATCTGAAATATTTCCTCTACCTGTATAGACAACTCATAATCTTCCACAGATTATGATGGTGTATAGATTGATGTTAAACTGCTACACTAAAAGTGATGCCAGAATGGAGATGAAAAGTTCATCTATGATTCTATTCCAAAACTTCTTCTATGCCTCTTTTCAGCTCTAAAGAGAAGAAAATAGTAGCCAAAATTTCTGAAAATTCTACCTCTTACTAACCCAATTAAAAAAAAATACTCCCCCCTTCTTCCTTACTTACAATCTCATCCCCTTATCTTTACCTTTACTTTATCACACTAGGCAATGCAGATTGTAAAGCAGAAACACGGTTTCTATTATGTAGTGTTCATTGATGATCCTGTTGCCTGGCAGCACCTTTCTTTCCCTGAACTCTCTCATACCTGACCGATTTACCACTGGAGAAACACTCGTATAAAAATCCTGGTTAGGTTAAATTAAATAATAATTAAAGTGTTCAATTACATTAGAAAATGCCAACTTAATTGATAACATAACTGTTTAACACTAATGTATTCACTGCCTCGCTAACACTCCTGTAGTTTTCTGCAGCCTAGTTTCTAGGCCCCTGTAACATACAGCTCTGCTCTCACCTGTCCGTCACTGCTGGGCAGGGGAACATCAGCCAATGAGAGGACAGAGGGTGGTGCAGAAGGGGGAGGAGCTGGAGTATATAAGGTGTGTGTGTGAGATGTGTGGGGGGAGAGTTTTTTGGAGTTGAGGAGATGAGAGAAATTGATTGAGTGAGATAGATTTGTGAGAGATAGTCAGTGAGGGAAAAGTCTGTGTGAGGTACATTAAATGAGAAACTTGATTTACAACTTGATTTACTACCTGTGATTTACTCCCTTTTATTTTGTCAAATCAATAAACAAGGTTTTGTTTTAGAAGAAACACTTGTCCTTTGTGACTACTGAATAAACTTTGGTGGCAGCAGTAGAAGAGTAGTGAGCACTCTAGGAGGCCTGTATTGGTAGGGGCTTCAGAGTGGCCCGCTACAGCCCCATTTTTAATTTTTTTATAGGTGTCAGTGGTTACTGGGCAGTTGAATATTTTCCCTTTTCTATTAATAGAGGCAGTAGATTAGCTCCTAATTATTTTATGTTCAAAGAACTATTTTACTATTTAAGGGCCATTTAGTTTTCCAGTGAACGTTGCTAAACCTTCTGATATCCTGTGGGGAAAAAACTAATTCCCGTAATAGCAAATCATATTCCCAATACATCTGCAACCATAATTTGCCATTTTTATATAGTTTTGTTTGTCTTAGCCAGAAAGGGCAGTTTTTTTAGAAACAAGAAGTGAGCATCTGCACAGGCTTTGCCATTCTTGGCCAAAAATATTATTTTTTCTTACTGGGTGTGGGCCTATGGGCCATACTTTGCTGTGAAACAAACCAATCCCCCCACCTATACAGAACATAAAGTTACATAACCAGAACTTAGTTATATGGGGACACCTGCCTTAGTTACATCCAATTTGGATTACTGTAGCACATTCTGTATTGGGCTGCGTTTGGAAAGGTCATTGAAACTTCAGCAGGTCCAGGATGTTTTGGCTAGTTTAGACCTAGCTACAAATGAAAAAGAAAATCCTTGTTTCATCAGCTTTACTGGCTACCATTCTGCTTCTCGACACAATTCAAAGTGATATTTTTAACCAGGCCATTTGATGGACTATCCCTCTATACCAATCCTCTGAGACGTTAAGATCTGCAGAGGACTTTATCTCAACCCCATTGCCCTCACACGTGATGATGACACAGGAGGGGGGCATCTTTGGTGGCTGGTCCCAGGCTTTGGAACTTCCTTCTACAGAAGACCAGGCTAGCCCCTTTCCATTTGTCCTTCTGCCAACAGGCAGACAATCCTTTTCAGGTAGGATTTTAATACCTAAAGTTTGCAAACTGCTAGCAAAAACAGATTTTTTCCAAGGAGAGGATTGCTCTTTTATCCTTTTGAAATATGTCTTTTAACTGGTTTTTATTAAGTGTTTATTTTTCTCTCTTTCAATAATTAATATATGCTGGTGTTTCATATTTTTGATTTTTATATTTTGTAACTATTTTAGTATTTGTGCTTTCTAAACCTCTTCCAAGCCACCTAGTCTCTCTACAGAATTGGATCACATACATACATGCATACATACACGCCCCTTTTGGAAGATTAAAAACAGGCTTTTCCTCCCACAGCTTCATCAGAGCTTGGGGAGCCTATATGCTTGTAAAATACTTTAAACATCAATTGTCTTACCATATCACTCCAGCAACATCTCAGATTTACTGCATCAGTTGTATACTGTATTCTGTCAGTTTGTTTTTAGTAAAACTTACTGTTTAGTATGCCACCATTTTACAACTTCCTCTCAAGAACTGCAGTAACACCTTTTATTTTAAGCTATGCATTTGACTAAGAACTGCAAGCAGGTGATGTCCTAAACATATGGTTTCTATCTTTAAACTATCATATTTGCATGCCTTGCAATCGCTGTTAGACATTCTTTAAGTCAGTGATAAAGAAGTGACAACTGTAAGTATATTTTGTCCCTAATATGGGTTTGTTAACTTACATCTACTAGAAAAAGAAAAATGTTTTGCATACTGGTGACAGTTACATTCCAATGCCCACAACAAACTGGGACAAAAACCTGTGATTTTTCTCACTGTCTCTTGCCAGTAGTAGTGGTGTTAAATTCCATTAAATGGTTTTCATTAAAAGATGCAAAACATAAAACTGACAATTGGAAGGTTTATTTAAATTTGATCCTAATTCGTTTTTAAACACAAATAGCAAGGCTGCACACAAGTGTTAAGGCTGTTCTTTTACATACACTTACTCAGCGAATCATGCTTCCAAGTAAACATTCCTTGTACCAACCTGCACATCATGTAAAATTATTTTTGCACCAAGAAGCATACATTTCAGAATGAATGTATGCAAGCCATTTATTATACTGATGGAATTAGAAGACATCAATTTATTTGTTACTTAAAATTGTCAAGTGAAATATTAGCATGGTTCAGCTAATGGCCCAACCCTACAATTTGACACAATTGTTACTGTGGCCACAAGGCAAGACACATACTTAATAAGCAATAACACCTAAATAAGAAATATCGATTTTAATTGTGTAAGAAGTATCGGTGATACTGATAGATCTGGTAGTTGAACGGACATCCCTCATTGTCTTGACACTTCACCTCTTATCTACCATCCTGGGAACATCTACAGTCAGAGTATCAGCTTTTTTTTTCCTTGTTAAAGGTTTGTATTGATTCAGAGCTCACTAGTACTCATCTCTAATCTTTTCTATTTTGCCCAAAGGCCTTAAAGGGGAAACAACGTGCAGCAGCGCTTGTCATGGCGCAAAACTAACAGCCAGCTGGTTGTCTTCCCCATTGTGAAGAAACCTCTAGGTAAAAGCAGGCAACAGGTTCGGGAATTTTAACATTTGACATGTCTCTCTTTTTACAAATTCAAACACTTGGCGCTGGGCGATCTCTAGGAAAAGAGAACATAAGAGCCCTGAGGTATCAGATCAAAGCCCTAAGGAGCTTTCTCCGGCCATTGTACTCCTCCCTCTGCTTTCCAGAGGCAAGCTCTCTCTCATCCTGGATGTTGGTAGTAGACTGCGTCCATGAACATTTCTTTCTTAAAAGGTCTTGCTTGAGGGAGGTTAATCCACGATTCCCCCGCACACAAACACACACCCCTCCTCCTCTCCACGCTGGGGTATACACTTCCCTTCCGAGCTCAGCTCCCACGACCTCCTCCTCCTTTACGGGCTCCTCCGCAAACGTTCCCGAAGCTCCTCAGAACTACACTGACCAGCACGCACCGCTTCGCAACCAGAAAAGATTCGCGGGGCCGCGCTGCATGCTGGGCAACGTGGTCTGAGCCGTTTCTCCGCCCGGAAAAGGGGAGGCGGGGCTAGAGGGCGCGCGCGGCTTGAACGATGTTTTCACAGGTTCCCGCGCTCTTGGGGATCCGCCGCCGCCGCCGCCGCCGCCAGTGCCCGTTCCCCCCCAGCCCCGGCCCCTCCAGGTACGTACTGGGAGAGGAATTCGCAGGTGATAGGAAAGGGTTGGGGAGGGAGACCACTCTCCTGCTTCTCACTCCGCTGGGTGGGTTAAAAGGGTTGACTTGCCCTCCCAGTGAAGCTGGAGCGCGGTGGGGAGGAGGAGGACATGTTGTTTCCTTCTGTGGGACCCTAATGTTAAAGGAGGAGGGGAAGGAGGAGGAGATCAGCCCCAGTTGTTTACTGGAAGGAGGAGGGGAGTCCAGTATGCTTTCTTGACGAGACCGAAACAAAGTGGCCGAGCCAGGAATGGTCTCACGTCATGCTCTCCCCCCGCCCATTTAGTCTACTCTGGGAGACATAACAAAGTTTAAAAACAAAACCAATAACATATGAAAATCCAAGATGTAAAAATATAGATATTAAAATACAGCAGGAGGGAACGCCTGCCTAAATACTGTAGCCATGTCTTTAGTTTACTTCTAAAGACACCCAGAGAGGGAGCCAGAGGCCAGGGGCCACTACCGAGAAGGCCCAGTTCCTCATTCTTTCCTTTCGGGCCTCCCTCGGCATTAGGCCCCTCAATCGCCTGGCCTGGCTAGAACGAGTGTCTCTGGCAGAACTGGGTGGGAGAAGGCACTCTGCCAGATATCGAGGTCCTAAACCATTTAGGGTTTTATAAGTAATCGTAAGAACTTTGAACTCAGCATGGAAACGAATGGGCAACCAATGCAAGGCGGCCAGCGTGGGGGAGATATGTTGGTGCCTCTTTACCCCAGTTAAAGTCTGGTCGCGGCATTTTGCACCATCTGAAGTTTCCGGCACCATCTGAAGTTTCCACGTCAATTTCAAAGGCAGCCCCACGTAGAGCGCAGATTACTGTAATGCGTAGAGCGCATCACAGTAATCTAATCTTGAGACTACGGACGTACAGTGCAGATTACTGTAATGCGTAGAGCACATTACAGTAATCTAATCTTGAGACTACGAGTGCATGGACCAAAGTGGTGAGCACACCCACATCAAGAAAGGGATGCAGCTGGGCAATCCACCGAAGGTGGAAATGTGTGGAACGACACCTGGTTCTCCATGCTGAACGCCGGGCCCAGATGTACACTCAAGCTGCAAACCTCACTCTTGGTTGTATTTCAGATTTTCAGGTGTTGGTGGTATACTTAAACCCATGCAGGCTCCCTTCTACCTCACATCTTGCCTATTTATTTATTAACTTACAACCACATTTCTTCCAGTGAGCAAAATTTATATGGTATGCCCCCTGAAGTGTATCCTTACAAGAGACCAGTGAGTTTTAGGTCATCCTAAAAGAAAGTGGTTGGCCCAAGGTCTCTTGGTGAGTTTCACAGCTCAGTGCTGATTAGAACCTATAACTTCCCTATCCAGCACCCATATCCATTGAAGTAGAGTAGCTTCAGAGAAGTAATTAAAATTGTGCTAGTTTTGTGTTTTCTTCCTAGCTCGCTGAATCAGACTGATACAAGATGGGAATCCAAGGTTTGCTCCAGTTTATCAAAGAAGCTGCAGAACCTGCTCATGTTAAGAAGTACAAAGGACAAGCAGTTGCTGTGGATACTTACTGCTGGCTGCACAAAGGAGCCTACGCATGTGCTGAAAAGCTAGCCAAAGGAGAACCCACAGATCAGTACGTTTCAAGCTATGTGACTGAGAGAACTGCTGTTCGTTATATCAGGGGATAGTTTTGCTCTTAGTCTGTTATCATCAGGGAAGGTGAATTAGCTTTCTAGGCTATTTTAATGTAAATAAGCTATGAATTGTAGTCTTGTATGGAAGAAAGTGCTCACTGAAAAAAATGTATGTGAGAAATGCTCTCTTGTTCATATTTGTGCAAATGCTATTAGTTATAATCCTGAAATAGTAGCAAATAAGAGAATCGGATGCATTTAGTATGCTGTCAAATGCATATTATGTATACTTGGATAAATAATAATTGCCATTGAAGTTGCTTAAAGAAGTTGTGGTCTTGTGAAAACCTCACATCCTGTCAGATAAATATGTTGCAGACAGCTGGTGCATAGAATTACAGCCATAAATACAACAGTCTGGATAAAATAGGAATATTCTGTTATCATCTTCAGTCACTGAGACCCACTTTTATTTCTAGAGTGCTCATAAGATCTGTTAGATGTGTTTAATATGACTAGTACTAGTTCAAAAAGCAGAGGCAGTTCACATTTTAATTCATTTCAGCAGGCTAAATACTGCATCAAGCTAAGAATTAACATTTCAAATGCTACAGCACCAACTGCACTGACAGATCATAACTCTGGCTTTCTAGTCTTGTAGTTGCATAAATTCATATTTGCTTTAACATCATAAAAAGTAAAATTCCTCTAGCAGCTTAAATTTTACAATTATGGGGGAAATGCTGTGATGGATGTGTGACAGTGGTGTTTTTTTTCCTACAGATATGTAGCATATTGCATGAAACTTGTTGATATGCTCCAGTCATTTGGGGTAAAACCAGTTCTTGTGTTTGATGGATGCACCTTGCCTTCCAAAAAGGAAGTGGAAAAGGCACGAAGAGAGTAAGTCATGTTTACATTTTGTAAGATACTGGGGACCTCCTTGTCTTAGAAATTTAAACTACAGATCCAAAGATGGCCAATAAAAACATAATGTATAAATCTGGCTAGTGTTGCAGGAAATGTATGCTTTAAGGACTAATGCTATTGTATGAAAACTGATATCGTAATGACTCCCCTTTGTTGGATATTTGTTTGTTTTTAAACAGGTTTACTGCCCATCTGTAAGGACAGCTTGCCTGCGTATTTTCTGTGTGGCGGGGGATTGTATTAAGTGATTTTTTCAGTCCTTTCCAACTTTTTAATTCTATGATTTTATCAATACAGATGACACCTTGACCTGTTCAATGAGAACAGATCTTAGAGAACTGAATGCAGTTCTAAACTGTCTTCTGTAATGCTGGAATAGTATGGTTATGTTATTATATCTTCTGGGGAGGTTTGGCTCAGATTCTTGAATCATCTCACCAATGAGGATACAAAGGAAAACAGAACAGTCCACACAGAGCATCTTTTGTGTCAAGCTTTCTTTCACTTTCCTTCTTATCTTAGACTAGTCTTCTCCCATTTGGTGCCACTTAGATCAGTTGAACTATAATTCTTAGCATCACCAGGCATGCTAGCTGGAGCTGATGGCAGTTGTAGTCTAATGCACCTGATTGTCACTCTGGAATTGGCCTTCTCAGCCACACTAGACGCTGTTCCAAGACCTCTACTCAGATCACGTTACCATAATTTCTCAAGACTGAAGGATGCCTACAGAATCCCAACATGTTTCTAAACTTATTAAATTAGCCTCTAACACTACTCAGTGTAGAAATCAGGAACTGAAAAAAAAATCCTTAGGTATAGATTTGAGAATCTTTCCATCCTGGATTGCAGGTTTTTTCCAGTTAAGTGTGATGCTATTCAAAAAACAGGTTCAGTACATAAAAAAGTAATGCAGCTGAATTCCACTAAAATTGGTATTTATTTATTATTATTGTTTATTTATTTATTTTATTTCTATCCCGCCTATCTGGTCGTACTAGACCACTCTAGGCGGCTCACGACAAACAGCAACAACAAAATTTTAAAACATTACAATTTAAGAAAGATAGAAATTAAAAAGATATAGAGAGAAAATCGTCAGGAGTTTTCTGTTGGAAAGGCCCGCTTATACAACAGCGTTTTTAATTGTTTCTTGAACATGCCCAGCGAGGGAGCCGCGCGAATCTCAGGAGGTAAGTTGTTCCAGAGGCGAGGAGCCACCGCCGAGAAGGCCCTATTTCTGGTCTTTTCCTTCCGGGCCTCTCTCGGCGTTAGGCTCCTCAGCCTCACCTCCTGGCTTGCACGAGTGACACGGGTAGATCTTGGTGGGAGAAGGCGTTCCATCAAGTATCGAGGTCCTAAACCGTTTAGGGCTTTGTAAGTAAGCATCAAGACTTTGAAGTCGATACGGAATCGGATGGGCAGCCAATGCAATGCGGCCAGAGTGGGGGAGATATGTTGGTATCTTCTCACTCCACTGAGTAATCTGGCCACAGCATGATATTAGTACACAGTGATTATTACGTACCATTTCTTTAAACAAAGCCAGATGAAACTGTAACTATTTGAATTTCATATGATTTGCAATCACTTACACCACTAGATCTTCATAGGCCAGCTTATCCTTTCTTCTTTGCCTTTTTTAGCCTTATACATCCAACTTTTAGGTGTGTAAGCACTATGTTCCTTAAGCTGATGTTACATTTTACATTTCTGGAGGCTAGAAATGTATCTGTGTATAGGGCAAAGTTGGTGTTGCCAGCCTTGGTAAATTATGATTACATTACACTGAGAAGATGGGTTTGTTTTGTTATCTTGAAGAAAACGACAAGCAAATCTTCTAAAGGGGAAACAGCTGCTCCGTGACGGGAAATTATCAGAAGCCAGAGAATGCTTTGCACGTAGCATTAATGTTACACATGCTATGGCCTGCGAAGTTATTAAAGTAAGTAATATGTCTTGATTAGCAGGTTGTTTGCTACCACCTGCCTTTTTTACATCCAGTAGTACACTTTTTGTCCTTCCTCTAACCCTTATGTTGCATAATATGCACTTTAGAGAAGACTAGTGATTCAGAGTTACATGAAAAGGTCTTATGGCACCTTAAAAGCTAACAGGTTTTCGTGAGCATAAGTTTGTTAGTGGACTACAGCCCATTTCTTCAGACATATGGAGTACAGCCTCAGTACACAGATGTGGAGAGGAATGTAAAATGTAGGACAAATGCAAAGAGTAACAGCATAGTGATATTCCTGGCATTGGTCCTTAAATCCAGTGGTGGTGTTAAGTCACGCAAAATTCAGTGCAAAGAATCCAGGAGTTCTAACAGAACTTCTACAACCACAAAATAAAACAGATAATACATAATATCATAATAAAGTATGTGCCTTTTCATTTCCCCTTCATACTCAAATCATAATTCTGATAATGTGAGAAAAGCCTGATTTCCCTATCCATTGGGAGCAGGAAGGTAGGCCCATTAGCAGGGAAACAATTTTGGCACTTCTTGGGGGTGGGGGTCAGTTTTGATTTCCCGAAGCCTAACAGAGGCTGTTAGGCTTTGGGGAATCAAGCCTAACCATTGGAAACCTCCCTAATCCATTGGAAACCTCCCTCCATGCTTTTTGTCCAAAACTGAGGATGTCTGGAAGTTCATTCTCAGTTTTTAAAATGCAAAATTTTTTTGGGGGGGGGGGGGTTGTTTGTTTTTGCAGAGAACGGTAGTTCATAAAAGCATACCAGGATTGTTGTGTTCTGTCCATTCCTTTCCTACACCAAACTTGTAGACACATAGCCTTTTGTTTTACATTTTGCTATGACATTTCTCCAGTTATCCATAGTGGTTAATCAAATGTATCTAAGTTCATTAGCAACTTCCATTGCAAATTCTTGGAAATAAGTATTGCAGGAAATTGCTGCAGTTCCTCCTATATTGTAATTTCTAGGCAATCTAAGAAACAGATAAGGTGCTTTCTGGTGTGGAACATACACTATCATAGCAGAGCAGGCATAGTTCATACCAGAAGCCCCTGTTTCAATTCATGTTCAGTGAACTCACTCTGAAGAGATCTTATGTAAGAAAAGGGAGTAAGCAGACCAAGTTATTTCACTCAGTATTCATGTGTTTATATGAAAGATTGTAATACTATCATTTTTGTTGTTGTTGCTTTTTCACAGGCTGCCCGAGCTCAAGGAGTAGATTGCATTGTTGCTCCATATGAAGCCGATGCTCAGCTAGCCTACCTTAACAAGACTGGCATAGTCCAGGCTATTATTACTGAGGATTCTGATCTTCTTGCTTTTGGATGTAAAAAGGTAGAAAAGATCTGCTTCATTGCTAAAAGGAGCCAGGCCAGGGCTCAAATGTATCTGAAAGTCCAGCTCCCTAATATTGTATGGCTCAATGCAGGAAGAGTATTATAGTTAAGATGTTGGATTGGGCTGCAAGTTTGTCTTTGCTCCTTCCTCTTTTTTTAATGGCAAACTATTACATAATGACCAATAATCACCACAATCAAAGCAATAATAAAACCTATTGAGGATGCAAAACCTAGCTAAGGATGAACATGTTTTAACCGTGATTGACTGGAAGAATTCAGTTTGCACGAACTTGTTTCCCTTTCAGTTGTAAAGGAAGTACTTTATTGCTTCTTAGGGTATAAATCTGAGACATGGCACTAGAATTAGGTTGAGGGGCAAAGCCTGAATCAGCCCTTATGTAAATTTAAAATTTAAAGTCAGGAAGGTTTCTGACAACACAGGAGAAGAAAGGGGAAAGAATGGTGTAGGGTGAAATTGATTGGTATTTATTTATTTATTTATACAGTATACAGAATGTCTACTTTTAAAGTGTTCCAAATACGTTTGTTGTGTTATTCTTAATGGAGTCTAACCATTCGCCTTGCTGGTGGGAGCTGATGGGAGATAGCATACAACAGAACCTGGACAGATTCCCTACTCATGTCTTAGACCAGGGGTCTCCAAACCTTTTACAATGAGGGCCACACTGGATATTTTCAGTTTTTTGAGGGCCAAAGGAACAGGAATGTGCGTGCGCATGGCCGCACACACACACACACACCCTGGGTGTCTGTGAATTTCGTTGTATGAATGGCCGCACACACACACCCTACATGCACGAATGCCTGCCGGCATGCACCCCTGCCTCCCTAGCATGCACACACAGGCTGAAGGGGATAGACTGAACAACATGGCAACATGGGGCAATTGTGGCCCTTGGGCCTTAGTTTGGAGACCCCTGCCTTAGACCAGTTCTCTGGCTTGATACATAGTTGCTAAGTTTTTGAGTGGCAGAATAATAGAAGCCTTTGAGAATACAATGGGAAAAAACTTTTGGCAATAGCCTATTCAGATAATCTATGCAAAGATTAGCTAAACTAACCAGGAAAGCAGTGTGTCAGGTGTTCCCTCTCTGCAGTTAACTTTAGGATTGGGATAACAAGTCTGAAAAAAGAGCTAGCCAGAACCCTGGAAAATCTAGAATCAAAGGCATCTAGAGAATCTCCATACGTACGGAAGCTTCTCCAGGCTCCTTGCTTTTCATAGGATCAAATAAATGTTGGATGGGGCAGAGTTGGCATGCTTCTCCCTGTGTGTTTAATTAACATACTAGAGGACTACGATCTATATGGTGAAACAAAATTGTTGGGTTAAGTTACATAATTTTGCTGATGGAACCTGTTCTGTTAGTAAAATAGGGAGAACCTAGTTCCCATCTACAGCCTCCTCCCCACTCCCTGCCCATGAATCTGCTCTGTAGTGCTTGGAAGCTTCCAGGAACAAGTTTTCAGATGACATGAAAGGTCATGGTGTGGAGGGGTGAGGAAGAATATAGTAAAGGAGTGATTGTGCCATCATAGATTTCAGCCACAGAAAAGAAGAAATAGAGGTGTGTGGATTATATAAAAGTATATCCAGTGAAATGCTAAGTATATTGAAGAACTGATAAAACATATTAGAACATATGTTGCTTTTGGGGAAAGAGTCCATTTCCAGCTATGGTCTATAAAAAGCACGTCATATGTGGGCTTACTAGACAAGACTCATCTGTGATTTTGCTTGTGTTTGAAGGTATTTTTGAAAATTGACAAGTCTGGAAATGGCTTAGAAATTGACCAGGCTCGGCTAGGAATGTGCAAACAGCTTGGTGATGTGTTTACAGAAGAGAAATTCCGTTACATGTGTATTCTCTCTGGCTGTGACTACCTTCCGTCAATTTATGGTGTTGGATTAGCCAAGGCTTGCAAGCTGCTAAAAATAGCCAACAATCCTGATATTATCAAGGTAATATAATGTTCATTGGGCTTTGATTCATTTTTTGTGTTTTAATAAACTCTGCAGAAAGAGGATAAATCTGAAGTGGGGTTGAAGGTAAGGTTATTTAATTTGGGTGATGAAATGTTTGGTGATTCCTTGAAAGGAACATTGTTGTCTCCTCATACAGATTTTATTTCTGTTAACCTTTGGAGCAAAACAGTAACTGTAAGTAGTATAGTACTTTGAGGAGTAGCAGAGATTTTAGATTTTTTTTCCTAATACATGTTGACCATAGCTTAACTGTCCTTTGTGTTAGATTTCCACGGAATATATTTTCTTACCAAATCTATTTGGCTCAGGTACAAATTCCCTGTTTGTCCTTACTAATTATAAATGAGTAAAGATTTTATAGGAGAGTACCCATTATAATGTAGCCAACAGAGTGGTGAACTAAGTCTCAGGACACTTGGGTTGGAATTCCACTCAATATGGAAACTCACTGGTGTGGGGTGGAACTAGTAAAGTCACTCCTTAACTTTCTCCCTTACCTTGAAAATCCTGTTAGGGTTACTTTCAGTTTTAACTTGATGGCAGGTAGCATGCACAAAGACTATGTACTTCCAATCTGTGACTGCACCAATGATTGTTGCTAATTGCTGACTAAATAATGTGTGTTATGCAGATTTTATACGAAGACTGTGACATGTATGTTTCTAATATGTGTTCTGGTTTTGAGTTTTAAATGGGGGGAAAGTCTCATTAATTAGTGCAAATAAAAATATTGCTTCAAAAATCATACCTACTTCTAAGCTTTTGGGCAGGAAGTCTTTGATTTTAAATCCTTGAAAAGAAGCAAAAACAGAAGTAAGAAAAAGTATAACTTGTAGTACAGATTCTAATGTATGTCACTAATTATGAAGAGATACCAGAAGAAAACTTTCCTTTATAAAGTCCTTTTTGGTTTTGCAGAGATCTTATGTCTTTTGTCCATATTTTGTTTGTCAAGAACTATATCTGTTATCGAGTACATAATAAACATTTGTATTAAGAATGTTCAGAATGTCAGATCTGATACTAGCTTTCATTCCACGAATAGAACATGCTTTCTTTACTCCCTTGGTCTCCAGTGCCCCTGTGAAAGTCTGTTTCAGTGACTTAGAACAGCGATTCCCAACCTTGCATAATCCAGTGTTCTGCCATTCCTAGAAGCCTTCACCACCAGCTGTGCTGGCAAGGGTTTCTGGGAGTTGCAGTCCAACAAAACCTGGGTTACCCAAGATTGGGAACCGCTGGCATAAAGGATTGTTTGGTACAGTGTGAGAAGTTGCAGATGGAGGGAGGAGTTGGTGGAAATCACCCCTCCTTGTATGTGAATGGAAAAGCAACTTAGGAGCCAAGTTATTGTGGCTGTTCTTTCTTCCAAATAAACTACATATTACATAATGTGTTCCTTTCTGTACCAGATTATTGGGAAAATGGGACAATATCTAAAGATGAATATTTTGGTGCCTGATGACTACATACAAGGATTTATTCGTGCCAATAATACCTTTTTGTATCAGTTGGTTTTTGATCCAGTCAGGCGAAAACTTGTTCCTCTGAATGCATATGAAGATGGAATTGATCCAGAAACACTGCTTTATGCAGGGAAGTATCCTTTCTCAAATAAAAAGATCACTCATTTATTTATAATAGCTTCCCTTTTATGACGTCTTTGGCGTTCCAGACAAATACTTCCAGGCTGCCATTTGAGGCTTTTACTTGGAAATAAGCCCTTCTGAACTCAGGAACTTTAAATTCTTAGTACATATGGCTTCACAAAGTTAAAAATACTGTCAATTTTAAAGGGATGATAATATGGATTTAGAACTTTGAACTTGGTGTTTTCTTTGTTGGTTTTTTGTTTGTTTTGTAATTTCAGTAAATGGTGAACAGTGAGTGCATTTTAAGATTATTTAAAAATCTGTAGAGGCATATGCCTGGAACCAGTGCTGGATCACCTGGGCCTTCAGTCTCAGGCGGGTGGGTGGGATTCTTCCTCCTGTCTGCTTCCTTGGGGTGGCCTTCAGGCTGCAACACCTCACAAGGAGGCAGAGCCAGAAAGGACAGCTCTCGTCCCTATCCATCCCTACCCCTGGCAGCTCGGCCCCTTTGCCTGCCACGGGGGTTAGGTAGAGAGGTGTGGAGCTGCCCCTGTTGTGAGGGTGGTGACAATGGTGGTGTGTGTGCCTTCCTCCCACCAGCCTCACTTTCCATGGCCTGCTGATCGATAGTCCACAGAGTCACTGGTGGATGGAGCCGCTTGCTGGGGTCAGAGACAGCTCCATGGGCCAGGAGACAGCCCAGCCCATCCGTAAGTGAGCAGCCATACCAGCAACCTCACCCAGGATGGCAAGGTGAGAGCAATGCAGCCCAAGGAGGCAACCAGGATTGGAACCACCACACATTGCAGAAGAGCTGCGGCTGGTGGAGGTACAGGCTTCTCTCTGTTTTCCCTTCCGTTTCCCATGGCCCCCCTTGGGAGGCTCGGCAGTGCACCCAAGCATTGCGGTGCACACTTTGGGAAAGATTGCTTTAGTGCATTGACAAAAGGAAAATCAACATTTTCCTTATAATGGTTTGTATTCAAATACAAATTAGCATATTTTATGTATTTGGGAGAGTATTAGGCTTGAGTAAACTATATTCTTTTAAATATCACAGAATATTGAATAATCATTTGCCCATTTGAATCATCATTCTTATTGTTAGCTCACTGAAAATGCAGAGAATAATGTTAAGTGCTGATTCTAATGTGGATTTTACATGAGTTGTATAAACTAATTATGAGATATCTATCCAGTTAAAACAAAGATTGAAGACTTCAATTTTCATTTTTCCATTTCACACATTCTCTGTTTTCATGAGTTCTATCAATTATGTAAATGGCTAGGAAAATGTAAAATGACACTCTGAAGGTAAAGCTACCAGTGTAAGACCTGCATTTTTCTTAACTCAATTAATTTAGACATATTGGAGATACCACTGCTTTTCAGATTGCTCTTGGAAATAAAGACATCAATACAATGGAGCAAATTGATAACTACAATCCTGATGCTCAACAGGTAAAACTTTTTTTAATGCTGGAATAAAATTTTCATTGAAATTGTATGTGGAATATGCCAAAACTTCCCAGCAGGGCGTTTTTGGCAAAAAGGCCAAGGCATGATAACCTGTCTTGTTGGAGAAACCTTGGACACGAAGGACCTTGATAATCCTACAAAAGTTCTAGGTTTTGTCATTACACATCCTACCTCAAAAATGTAGCTCTTCATCAGCAAGCCTTACCTTGGGAAGCAAAGGTTTCAGGTCTCAGGAGCAGTGGCATCAGATTGGATTTTAGTTTCTCAGTATTTTTTGGAGAGTGGTGACAATGGTATTTTATACGTACATGTGTACATGTACCACACTCAGACAAGAAACTAGAGCAGTAGAAACAGCACATAGTGCCATAGAGACAAGGCCTGTCAACATTTTCTTCTCTTACCCATGGGAAATATGAGGTATATATGAAAAGAAGGAAATACCTCTGTCACTGACTTAACCACTTAGAGGTCTTGACCTCCATCCTGGATTTTCTTTGAGTCAGAGTCCTGTGGCAAATAATGATTGAAGGACTGTAAAAGATTTTGAGTAAGAGTCCACAGCTGACACAATTTTGCAGTTTTGTACTTTCCAGGGAAGGCAATCTTAAGTAATTCTTCTCCAAAATGTGTTTCTTTTTTCTTGTCTTTTTCTATATAGCCTGTGCACCCAAGAAGTCGTGGCTGGGATGATGAACACACTAGCAAGAAGCCATCTGGTTTAAAGAGTATTTGGAGTAGGAATTACAAACCTGGTTCCCCTGTCAAACTTACCACAAATACAGCACTGTTGTTAGATAAACCCACTACCAGAGGCACAGAGCAGCAAATCAACACAAAAGGACTGAAACTTCCTAGCAGGGCATTTTTGGCAAAAAGGCCAAGGCATGGTAACCTAAATCTCTAAAGATGTTGTCTTTAAAAAAGAAATTTCTGTTTCTGTTCTTAAGATGGTGTTGAAGGTTTGAGATTCAAAACTAGTTTTTCCCACAGCTGGTTTGTTTTCTGTTCCTTCTTGTATTTTGCTTCTTGAAATGCTTTGAAGAATATGCAACACTGAAGAATCCAAGCAACACAGATAATTGGTATCTTTCGAAAATATTTTCAGTCCAGTTATGTGTATCGATCTGTTTTTCTGCTACTGCTGTGAACTGCCATATTGACTTAATTTTTGGTAGCTTAGCATTTGTTCCTTCTGCTCTGATAAATACATCTGTATTTAATGTGTTTTTGCCACTTGCTGAAAGTTTATTTTTTCAACAAAGAAAATGTACATTTTACAATGTATTTTTGTTGTGACTTAAGTGTAATTTACTCTTTTTTTTAATGTTCAGAAGAGATATCAGAAGGAGATCTATTGAGTCAGTATTTTACAAATTCCAAAAAACCCAAGACAGACAATGAAGAAGATGGTGAACAGCATGAAGCTGTTGCTGCAGAATCTTTGAAGTTGCTGGCTTCAGGCGACTCTTGCGAAAACAAAGAATGTTCAACCCCCCCACCTAGAGTAAGGAATAAATTTGCCTACATTCTGCAGAAGAAAAACAAGGAGAGTGGTGCAGTTGTTGTTCCAGGGACTAGAAGCAGGTATGCCCACTTTTAAAGCTCATTTTGTAAAAGTTTAGTTCTTTATGAATAACTTTGCAATTTTCCTTTTTCATTAAAAAATAGTAGTAGTGTAGTTCTCAAAAGCAGAGTAGCAGAGAATTCAAATAATGTAATCACATCTATGCTGCAGTTAAGAAATGAAAGTTATACAGTGGGTTGCTTTTCAGGAACTACTGATGCCATTGAAAATCTGTTCAGTGCTATTGTTCACTACTGTTAAAATATGCTGACATGTTAACAGTGACTTTCATGTACAGTGGTGCCTCGCTTAACGAGTGCACCGTTTAACCCGCATACCGTTGTGGATTTTGCGATCGCTTTTGCGATCACATTACGATGTTGCCTATGGGGAAAAATCGCTTTGCGATTTTTCCCCATAGGCAAC